CTTTGCTAGGCTGATCAACGCGACATTTCCGTCCGCCGTATTTGGTCGTTGAATGAGAAAGCAGTCAACCGTCGGGTTGTGCTCATGTGCTAAACAAATTATCCTCAATAAACTGGCAGGGGATTATACCTGGCGCCACACCTGACGGCTCATGCGGGCGCCGCTGAACGTGGCTGGGTCGTGGAGCGGGCGCTGTCGGGTCGGGTCCACCCCGGCACCCTCAGTGGCGGCACCCTGACCACAGAACTGAGACGGCGCCGCGCGCGGAGGGCGGGGATGCCACCGCTACCTCTTGTCGAGGACCACCCAGCGCGATCGGCGCACTAGCGGTCTGACTAAGCGTAGGCGGAGTTATGGGCTCAGCTGATGTCTAATGACCACAGCGGTGCCAGTGGGAATAGCGTTAGTGAATGACGTTTTGGAGGGCTCTTGTTTACAACCAGACATGATATAAGGATCGAAACAGGGTCATGACTAACGTCTGATTATTGCTGGGCGTCCGAACTTTGAATAAACACTGATGAAACGATGTCGGTTTTGAAAACGTAAACACTTGCTTCGATATCAAACAGAATTAGGTATGCAGCTTCAATATGGTGTTTTGTTATTATCTAAGACAGCTGGACTAGGGCGTGGCACGACCATTTACCCATTGGGACATCGACTCGGATCAATTCAGCGGCATTGCTGCTTAAATTTGGTAGTCTCCTGTCTCAACTCTCAATGTCATCTGATGATATGACGCCGCGGACGTTTATAATGTGGCTGCTCCTTTGTTCAGGCGTCTCTCAGGGACGGCTAATCCATGATGAATTGTGAGATCGCCGGCGGTGGCATGCGCAGGAAGGCGGTCACGTGGGTGCGCTGCAAAACGCGCCCTCGGTGTAGCGGTCGGCGGCACGTCAGGGGCGCAGGCGGCGCCGAAAAGAGTGGCCACGCTCAATTAGCAAGTCTGATAGGGCCAGCGTGGCCGGGTCTCTTGTTTACATTCAGGCAGCGTTGCCAGCAGCAATGTGAGAGCGAACGGCGTGCGACGTGACCTATTTCAGGACCGGGTTCGCCGCCAGATACCCCGCGAAATGTGGAAGGGATTCGGGAAGCTCTTTTCAGACGTGTAGCGGAGGTGTGAAATAAGATTACAGTTTTATATTTAAAACAACTAGCTCATCCGGTGCTGGCTTTAAAACACTCAAAACTAGGGAATACGTTTCTCTCTGGCGCTCCTTTCACAAGTTTTCCAGACTTCTGGAAGTTTGCCGCCACTGGACGCCTGAAGTTTGTTTCCACGGGAGAGATGGGGGAGCGAACGGGGTTTGAGCGCTCGTGCGCGGAGTCGCTCGCGGCACGGACGGTCCCCTGATTTCACATTGCACCCCAGCTGTGGAGTTGGCCGGTGCGGTCGAACCGCGCGCTGCGGCGACTGATATCTCTGATACCGGTGGATCGATTCGCCCTGTCTGACCATAAGCGGCGGTATGACGGCAATGCCGCTCTGCATTTCCGGGTACGGAGTCGTGCAAACGTGTGCCCGGAAGCTTGACGTGCCTTCATGACAGATCAATAACAGACCATCTTTTTCTGAACGCTGTCGCATTTGCAAGTGATCCTTTCACTCTAGTAGGAATGCGTTTTGATAGTAGTGTTTCACGGGGTTAGGTGGAGTGGTATGTCACACATATCGCGGCTTATAACGTTGGCTAACATCAGCATTGTGTTTACACCAAGTGCATGGAATGCGCCCGTGATGACGTAATCGATTCAGCCGTGAGCCCGTACCGTGGCCGGCTTTGTCTGTCGGCTGCCTTCACTGTTCCGCGCCAGGCACGTCAAGGGCAGTGGCCGTGTCGGGCACGAGAAAATGCGCCGTTCAAGAGCACCATTAGCCGGCACACCGAGTGTTTTTGTGTGCAAACTGCCGTCGAGCCGGCCGAGGAGGGACCCCGGGGTGGCGATGACGTATGGCGGTAGTCACCGCTGCTCTGCGGTGTGTAGCGCTGTATTCGGGCGGTCTGCAGGCGCCGGAGACTCGCAGCAGTGTGCTGAGGACCTCGACCTGTTGCATAATGGCGAGTGTTTGCGTCCCGCCGACCGGCCGGAGGTTGGCGAACCCTCGCGCTCGACCGCGGAGGCCAGTGCGCACTCTGGGTCACCGGGCGGAACAGCGCTGCGCATTGTGCGTGCAAGCTGGCAGTCATTACCAGGAGCCTAAGGGCGGTATCTGGAAGTGCACTGCGCAGGTTGTTACGAACTATGGAGGACGGCGTTTCTCGCCCACTTCCCAGTTAGTTGATATTCGATTCAGCAGTGACTCGAGTCGCCGGCGGACTGGTCCATCTTGATCACCCTTCGGCACCGCTATCCTGGCTACAGACTCATTAGCATGTGCTTAGCTGCGAACCCATGCTCTCCCTCCAGTCGGCAGCGGACGGGGGAGGGCTGCCTGGGCGTTACGGCGCCGCCCCGCGCTGGGGAGGGATCATAACTTGCACGGGGCAGGCCTGCACGGCGGCGGGAGCGACGGTCCGGGCCGGGCAGGGATCACACTGCTCAGCTGGGGGTGTGACTGGCCCGGCGCCGAAGTAGGATCCGGGACCGGGACTGGGCGGGCCAGCCGCAGGGGACGGTTTGGGAGAGCCGGTGGTACCCGGGGACTCCCCGTAATTAAAGTCTAGTCATATGACCTTCATTTGGGGGACCATGACCGTGGGTCTGTCTGATGTTGGAACTACCGGAAACTGCCGGGGTCGCGCCAGAGTTTTCAGTGCAGCCTTTTTTCCACTGCCGGTCTCTGGTCATTAGCATTGGGATCTCGAGTCAGCGTCTTAGGTAGACTCCAGTATCAAACCTGCTGAGTGGTCTCAGGGCTGAACATTAACAGTTATCTCTTTGTCTTTGCATGGGGACATTTTTCCATACGGCCGGGCTGGGAACATTACCAGAGACCAGTCCCACGACCCGCCGGCACCGCTCGGCGGTTACACAACATTGCCGGAACTGCCGACTCCGGCGCGGATTGAAATGGCATCCGTTTGATTGATGGCCAATCGCCGCGGATGTGGCTATTTAATTTTGCATCAGAGTATTGTGAAATCTGGTGTCCAAACCGGTTGCAGCCGTGTTCATTTTACGTCGGTTCTGTTACCGTTAATTCTATGCGCTTAACCTTCGCGATGAGACGGCGCGTCGAGTACGTCTACATTCGTCGCTATTACGTCCAGTCCAAATTGGGACTAAATGCTCTGTTCTTGATCAGAACAGCGTGTGCAGCAGATTGCCTTCCACGCCCGAGACATGAGTCGACTAATGATAGCCGATATAGCAACGGCACGACCCCGCTTCTGCTGGCGTAACTCTGCTGTGTCGAAACACCTGTCTGGCCTTTTTCACCTGGGCGCCTGCGAGCTAGTCCGCCGTGCCCGACACCACGGCCACATGTGATAACAGCCACACCTGAACCGTGGCACGAAGAAAGCGCCCGTCACTGGCTGGGACAGACCGGCCACACCAAACGACCGACGTTTGACAAAGCTAGGACCTGTGTAAGCGTGAAGAGACTCTACGCGTTCACTGTCCAAAGAAGACATTAGACGCGGACAGTAGACAGTGGACACCAGACATCGTCTGCATGAAGCGGTTTGTGTCCATGTCCGGCGGACAGTAGACAACGGAAAACTCCTGCGTGAAGCGGCTGTGTCCGCGGCCGGCGGAAATCAGATTGTGCAGCTTTATCGGACAATGTGGGCTGTGAGAGCGGTGTCACACGGTGCCAGTGACGTCACGCTATACTGTGACGTAACAGGACATTGTGTCCGGTCGTTGTCTGTCGGGGAAGCCGCCAGGGAAGCCCTCAGCTGCTTGTACTGCCTCCGTCAGTCGGGTGATGCGGCGGTATTCCTGGCTCGATAGGTAGATAAATGGGATATATTTGTCACACAGAACGCAAGATAGACGAGGCGGACGGAAAAGATAGATATTTGCGGGACGCTCGGACAACCTGGTGGAGAGACCAGCTACAAAATAGAACATAAAATAAATAAAATATGCGAGCGAAACTTGCATATCGCGCTTTGATATGCTCCAAACCCATCGGTACGCCTTTCTCAAGCTGTCACCAGCAACCGACCGGGCCTGTCGGGAACGGCTGCTGCAATGCAGATGCACCGTGGCGAATCTAACACAACGATCACGACCGCAGCGTCGGCCGCTGCATGCATGCACTGCTAGCCGACAGTTTGTTTTCATTGCAAAGTGCAAGGACATATTGCGGTTTTATGACGGCGATGGCCCTTTTCCGTCCAGTGCTGAGTTTGTCGGACCAGGACCCCAGTTGTAGGCTGTAGCATCAGCACGAAGGACATGTTGAGACCGACGTGTCCCCGCATAGCAGTGTCCTCGTGGCGTTCGCGATAGGCTCTCTCCGAACGTTAGTCCCTCAGAACGATTCTTTGTTCTGTTCAGCGTGAGATTTTTCAGTTATGGTTCCTTCTCTTCGACCGTTGGAGCAGCGTCTAAGAGATTTAACTGGAACAAGTCATTTGCCTGGAACAATAGACGGGCTGATTGCATTAAAGTTCTTGGATCAGATCCATCTTCCCCAATCCCCGCGTCTTTAGCCGCCGTCTTTGTCGGATTGTTGGCAGTCAAGTTTGCGTAGTTGAGTGGTTACAGTCGCCGTTCGTACACTCATCCCTTGAGGCATGTCTGGTGTTGATGTCATCGCGCCCCTTCAGTGTTTGTTGTGCGACGTAAGCCGTCACGGTCTTCGCCCGTTTGCGGCCGTGACGTGACGTGCGCCATATTCGTCTGCGCCGCGTGAGCGCTGTCTGGCACCGACCGGCATTTCCTGCTTCGGCTGGGCTGGGTCCGTTGTGTTGTCGGCTGTCCTGTCTGTATTGCTGACAGCGTTCTGTACATTGTCTGCGGTGATGTATACGGTTGTTGCATTGCAAGACTCGCTGACTGTGCTCTGTTCTCTGACCGTTTCCCGTTGCTTGTTGCAGAAAATCGCCTTCGACGGCGGCGCGCAGTTCAAATTCAGCATATCGGCCAACCCAGACCAGGGCAGCTTCGAGTGTCTCCAGCAGAATGGCAGGTGAGTCTCTACGCTGCTCTCCGCGGCCATGGGGAGCCCCGACCACTTCAGACGACATCGGTCGAGCCAGGGCCAAGGCTAGAGGTCTAACGCGACAGGAGGTTCTGGCGCCACATCCGGTACCGCGATCGTCCCTCCCCGTCCCCCCCCCCATCCGCCGCCGCTGCTGTCGCGCTGCCAGTTTTGTCACTAATGCCGAGGTATGTCCGGTCCCGGGCGCACGAACGCGCCGGGCCATGACGGGGTGGCCCGCGACACGGGGGGTGCCGCGCGGCGCGCCAAAAACTGGCGGTGGCGCGGGTCAGTTTGCGCGCGCGCCTGTCACGCAGCGGGGTCGTGCCGCGCTCGCGCCGGCCCGGCGGCCGCGGCGGTTGCGGTCAGCGCGCGTGGGGAAAGCGCTGGCCAGTCGAACCGGACAGTGTTTCACTGGCCGGTAGATTTCGTTACTGGGGACTGGATAGGTGAATGGCGTGAAGGTCTGGTGATTGCGGACCGGCCGACAGGAAGGAAGGGTCCCTGAGATCTGACGGGTGTCTGGTTCCTGTGTGCCTGTCGGGCCTCAACGGATGTCGGATGTATAGAGGTGACCTCGGAAGAATTTGATGGCCTTGGCTAAGAATGAATGACGATGCTAGTCCACAATCAGTGCTCGGGTTTCTGGTGATATATTGAATGTTTTTAAACTGATCATAACTGCATAGGCGTAGCCGCAACAGGTTTGGTGCACGTTGATATGCCTCGTGACTCGCTGAAATAAACATGAAAGCTGTTTTTATTCATGGAAGCGAGACGTTGCAGACTGACTCACCATGCACCCATGCAGATGCCGTCTATGGAAGGATTATTAGCAGAGCAGTGTGCGCAGAATGCGTCTATTCCTCTTAAATCGGTTTCTTTGCTGGCGGTGGCCCGTACTGAATGGCTGTGGCGACTCAAATGAATTCCAGTGTGCGGCGACCGTTTCCGTTACGCGGCTTTGAGACGTGCTGGGCCACACATCAGACCGTGACCAGATCAGACCGTGTCCATTTATCCCAAAATCTTCAGATATGACGATTTCAAAACCATTGGCGGCTTTTTCTTCTGCTCCAGTTTCCTGGAAACTAGTTCGACTTGATCTCTGATCATCTATTTATACTGACCTCTTTCTATTTTTGGAGATCAATCTGGGTCGTTCCCTTTAATGAGTCTGTTGTCTCGGTTTGTTATGCGAGGCCAGCGCCACATTTAGCTCATATTGATCAGTAGCGTCGGCTTATCCAGCCCACCACCGCTTGGCCTGCCGGCCGATAGTCAGATGAGCATTCTCGGCTCATCGATAGAGAGACTGCTAGCTGAGAGCTCGGACACTGCGTGTCAAACAAAGATAGTCAAACGAGTCCGGGAGAGAGTGGGGACAAGTCGAGGGAGAGAAACGCCTTGGAATGTCAACAGTTTGACGCCAACGAGAGGGACTTAGCGGAGGAGATTGCCAACGGTGCGTGCGTGCGTGCCTCGCCTCGCGCGCCGTTTGGCTGATGTAACCATCGTCTCCGCCGGCCGCGGCGGCGCACGGTGGGGCCTCCTGACGCTTCCTGAGACAAAAACTCGGTCCGATCCGGTCCGTCCGAGGGTCATGTGCTGAATCCGCGGACCTCTCTCCAAGGACCGTGGCCCTGACGCGGCGAAGGGCATCGGGGGTCGGTCGACGCAGAGAGAGCGGCCAACTGTTCAGTGTCAAACTGTACCGGTGTGATTTATAGTGTATCAGAGGCTTCAGAGCGTCTTTCGGTGGGTTGGATGGATGGCTTGTCATTTCACCGCTCATTGGGAATGAAGAGGCCTGACATGCCTGCCGTCAAAGGGGTCAAGTGGTGCTGTTTAAATGCATCAAATGAAGAGAAGCCATTCGAAGAAATGAAGAAAAATAGCTACATGAACAAATACTAACGAAAACTGAGTCTGATGGGTCCGGGCTCAGAATGCTACGGTTTGCGCTGACTTATCTGTGCGTGTGCGTGTGCGTGTGCGTCGGATCCGTGATCCGACTCTGATCGGCCCCGGGCGTGGGCGTGACGCCCGGTCACGACCTGCGTCACGCCTGTGACGTCACACCCGGAGCTGCGCGTGCGGCCGTGACGTCACGCTGCGGGGCTGCACGTGACCCGGGCGGCTCGTGTCGGCCGCCGCTCAGACTGTCAGTAATGTGGCTGGGAACCCTGGCAAGGGCGAAAAGAGCCGGGCCGGGCGTCCGACCAACAGGGCCTCAAATTTGGAATTCGGCCCGAAAAACCGGTTTTCTCCGTGTGCCTCGGCCAGAATGCCGTCCGATGGTGTTTTTGCTGCGGACCCATTTCTAAAATGGTAGACGACATGACGTTTTCGTTGGCTGTGCGTCACCAGAAGCCAGTGGAGGACGGCTCGGGTCTGTTCGCAATCCCCTGCGGTCAGGCCGGCTCTGTGGTTTCGGCTGTGCGCGTCCCTCGCGTTCCCTCGCCACAGCCCGCGGCGCCCAATTCTCGGAGACATCGGGCTGGCGACGGAAAATCCGCGCCGCGCCGCCGTGCGCACCTCAAGGTCGAGCTGTCCGGTCCTGACCGACCCCCTCCCCGCCCCCTCCCTCCGGCCGATCGCGCCAGGCTCCCCAGGCCCGAGCGGCTCGGCTCGGCTGGGCGATGAGGACTGACAGAGGTGAAGACGTTTTCCTTATTGCGTGAGCTGGAATTGGGGAAGGTGATGGCCGCGTTTGACATGAACGTGAGAGTGTCGTTGAGTAGGTATCAGTAACGCGATGAATAAGATGTCGTTTTAACTGGCAAGCAGTGGTAACAACAGCCTCTCTTTAAATTCAGGGTTCTCCAAGCATGTCACGGCTGTTGACTGCGGTACATAAAGCTGAAAACTAGTCATATTGAAAGGACTCTGATATGAAATGGCGCGCAACATGCCGTGACACTACATGAATTTTAACCTTTCGATAGACTTTTCGCCAAATCACGGCCGTATGGCTGGTCCCTGACATGCAAAGTCACTTAAGTGTGATACTAATCACAGGACTTATTTCATGCGAGGATGATACGCGGATTTTTCGTCGTATCGAAATCCGAAAACAACTGCGCACTATTACGTGATTTTCGCCAGCAAAGCACTGCTCACGTGACAGCTCAGGTAGAACAGAATGTGATAGGACAGATGCTCGGTAGTCGGCAAGAACCAATTGGTAATGTAATTGACAACTCCAAATACCAACTGAAACAAAGGCGGTCTCAAGTTTAAAGGTTTGAGGAGTTGGGGCGAAGGTTGTCAATCTGTTGCATGTATATTTGCCTGGTTATTTGGTAAGTGGCTAGTGAAATCTACACGGAATTACTGCGTATTGCCGTTCGCCGATCATTTACCTGGGAAACATTCATCAGAGCTATTCCAATGCCTCCAACTTTGAGGAAAGATATCCATTATCCATTCCCTATTGAGCAACAACATTCCTATTCGGAATTTAATATCTCTTTCGCTCCAAATGGTGAGGTGGTTGTGAAAAGCCCGCCGATCCGACTGGTCGGCCGGCCCGTTCACCGAAAACAGCTCTGCTTCAGAGTGGCTCGCGCTGTCAGCCGCCGCCGCCTGGGACGGCCGGGGCGGCCCGATGCGCAGTTCTGGCCCGCTCTGTGCTCTCGCCGTTTGTGACCGTGCCGCCGTGGTCGGACAGGAACTGCGTCGCCGGCGCGGCCCTCTGCTGTGCCGGAAGTAGGGCCGCGCGGATTGCGCAGGCGACTCCGGCTCGGAGCGCTTAGCGCCGCCCGTCCTGTGAAGGTCACCGTCGGCTGGAAAACGGACTCGGAAAGGCCAGTGCAGTGGAAGATTGAGCCGTCATTAAAATGTTTTCAGGTGGTGGAGAGGGGTGAAAACAGGCGGCGTGTCGGGTGAAATGTGTGAGAGGTAGTGGCGGGGTGCGCTGTGGTAGGCCGGGAAATCGGTCTCCGCGGGGTGCGGCCCACAAGGGGTGTAATCGCGCTGAAAAGACACGGCGGCGCTGTGTAATTCCGGTGCCTGATGTGGAGCCTCTGCCCACCGGACAATGATGAAACCGACCGCAAATAGACGACGTTTATATTTAGCTGCTGCTGTTAAATGTCCCAGATTTCTCAGCTATCGCTGCCTGTCTGGCTATGGGATGATGTCAACTCCGGTCTTACTTCCCTTCCGCCTCGGTGGCACGGTGTCTGATGGTGTCTGAGCTTCCTCCGGGACAGAGCTGCAGCCACAGACACAAATCACGGGCGCCGTTTTAATTCCGTCCACGTCGTGTAGCGGCCAATGTCGCGCGGCCGTATGAACGTTGAACCCATGCGACCAGAACGGTCTGGGCGGCCATAAATTACAATTATTATCATCATCTCCCCACGAGCCTGGCCATCGATCACACGTGAAATGAAGCGGGGTTCTCTATTAGGACACACGACACAGTCAGAACTCACTAGTGCCAGATCAAGTAAGATGCCACCCGGGCGGGCGACGCGGCCCGCTCCGTCGCCCGTCGCCGTCGACAGTTATCGTAGCTGAGGGTATCGACATGGAGCCCATCTAGCCCCATGGCCCGCAGTGCGGGCGGCGCGGGGCGGGGCAGATCACTGACCCCGCTCGGTGGCTGGCGGAAACGACCAAGGACATGTCAGGCCGGTGTCGCCCCGTGAGACCGACCACCGGACCAAGTGATTGACGGTGAGGGGCGGCTGGCGCGCAGTGTCCTGGGACGGAGAACCTGCGGCTGATGTCAGCGAGAGGGAAGCCATGGTAAATGCGTCACACAGGCCATACTGGTGCCGAAGCCTATCACAGATCTGTCACCGTCGGCAACGGAACAATCCGTTCTTATGCAAGGGTGGCGGAGGTAGCTCAGCAGTGCCACCGCTACTCGATTCAGAATTCATGACAGCCATCAGAACGGCTGTGTGGCGAACGGGTGGCTGTGATTGGAAATCCAAATGGTTATCGCCGGGACCGCTTTTATTCAGCTGCTTGACGACCGGCTGTCGTTGGCTGCCCGGGGCTGCTCCGCCGCCGCCGTGGGTATGTGTTTGTCGGTGTCCCGATCGGCTCAGTCGGCCTGTGATAGCCGTCTCACCGCCCACGGCCCGGCTGAAGTGCTGCGCCGCGGTCTACCGGGGCCTAATGGGCACGGCGCGGCCACCTCTGATGGACGGGTGCCCGGCCGATATCGGTAATCGCCAGCGCCGCGCCGCCCTGTCGCCCGTGGCGCTCGCGCAGGCCGTGGAATGGGTCCTGACTTGAGGTCGGCGGACGGATGGTGGATTCTGATCGGTGTTGGGCTTAGGGTGTTGACTGTTTATCCACTCGTTTTCCCTCACGGGTAGGTCATTGGATAAAAAAGAATCACGCCAACAGTCACTGAAGCAAACCGCGCGAAACAGCCTTGACACAATGTGGACAAAGAACGCAGAACCTTCTGTGTTTGCGCCGTGTTCTAGCTCATTGGATGTTCACTCTGGCCAGTATCTGTTCTTTTCTAAGCTTATCGTTTCTGTTCCCGTTTCAATTGTCGACCAGCCAGACAGCTTGTGTCATGTGTTTCTCCTGTTTCCGTTATTGCGGCACGCTCGTGACGTTACGTGACGCGTCGTGACTAGCCGTGACGCTGTAGCGCGCCGCTCCGGACGGAAACTGTGACCTGGCGGCCCGTACCGACCGACCGGAGCCACAAGTTTCCGCTCCGTCAGACCACTATTAGCCGACGACGAGAATATGCTGACAGAGATGTTGATTGTTGTCGGCTCAGGTCATGGACGCACTACGCAGTATCTTGTCCTTTCTTCGATATTTGAAAGGTTACTGCTACCACCGGTGGTTAGATAATTTGTATTAATCATCGGCGATAAATGTGCTTTGATATTTTGTCTGATAAAAAGGTAACATTTTATCACATCTCATCATTACTCATGGCCGATTGTTAGATACTCGTTGACATTCATATCATTTTTGGATGACTCAAACCGGGAAACAGTAATCTCACTAAATTGGCGGCTGGCAATGAACGTTCATCTGTGCACGCAAGTTCGTCGGTATGATTGTGTAGCGGTAATTGTATCGATCCCGTCCTTACCTCTGCCAGTTCAGCAGTGTAATTCGTGTCAGTCATGGTGACAATGAAACTACTCGCTATCGGGCGAACACCTAGGGACATTGGCAGCTGTGCGGTGGCCCCGCCGGCGCTATCGTTTGTTTTCTACCTAGCTCCAATTTAGAGCGCTCTCCTGCCAGTGTTTGTTCACATGTACGCGAGCTGATGGGAGATGGGGGTAATGTAACGCCTTGGGACAGCCCCGGGGCTCGGGCAACTGCTGTAAACCCTCACGGCCGATGGATTTGGCCGCTTGTTTGCTAGTTTGGCAGCGTAGCTCGCTGGTTCATTGTAGGAAGCCGGCGTTTTTGCGTTGATGCGCACAAAAACTGCTGAGGCTGATTTCATCAGCGGCTGTCGGCGACGGCGGCTGGACGGAGCACGTCTGCAGAGGCGCGGTGATTACTGATTTGTGCTGTCCGGGCGGCCGATACTGTCTGTTCCCACAGTCACCGGCTGACGACACTGGCACTGACCCGTGGGCGGCGCTCCTGTGTCACCTTTGTGGGACTGTGGGACCTGAAGGCCTCTGGGTCCACCTCTGACGGGGCTGTGGGACTGTGAGGCACTCTGGGCTCAACTCTGACAGGGCCGTGGGACCGGAAGGACTGTCAGGTCAGGTGGTGGCGGGGCGTCCTACCGGCGTGGCGGGATGTTTCGGCGTATTCACGTTTCCGCTCACATGACCAGGAAACGCAGGGATCCACGCAGTTCCTTCATGCGAAACATGAAAAGTTTCGCTGTGTTCGACTGTTCCGATTTCTGGGTAATTACGGATAAATATGTATGAATGCTCTCAGTCTGGGTTTGTAGTTTCATTCGAACCGGCTTGTGTCGCGACATGGGAGCATTGATGCGCTACATGTCAGCTCGTTACTGCGTCCGGATGTGTTAGACCGTCCTGCGCCTGTTGCGGTCTGGCGTACTACGTCGCGCCATTGTAGCATCATAACACTCCCTGGCCATTGTCATACGGTGTTTTTCCGTCCCGTGACCGTCGTGCAGCCGTGTTCTACCGGCGTTTTGCAGTAATGACTCATACACGCAACGTTGACTGCTCTGTGTTTTAGCCTCGTGGATAGTGTGCAGCGCTGTTCTTAAACTGCGCGACTGTCTGTGACTTTGTGTTCTAGCCGTTCTGTGGATGTCTGATGTGCATTGTGCGTTGCAGCCATCTAACAGCCTGTTCTGTTTCAGCCGCCTGGAATCTCTGGGCGCCATGGCGCACAAGGTTCGGGTGCAGGCCAACGATGACGTGTACGAGACCACCCGACAACGAATGGCCGAGGTGGAGGAGGCCAGCATGAAGAACTGGTACGTAGAAACGGCGCGGGTCGCTCTGCTGTGACATTGCGAGCGGCCGGAACTGGTGGGCGCGAGGGGCAGTTGATCTCATTGCTCTTATGTTTGTCTGGGGAAGATACAGGCAGCATGAGATTAGTGTTATGAGGTAACTAGGCAAACAGTTACTAAACCGCTGGCGTTATTTGGGTTGTTCGGCGATCAGGGTAACGTTTTGTATCAGGAAATGTGTTTCATCAGCTAGCTCGCCATCCATTTGTAACGGTGATCGGGTATGGCGTGTTTCGTAAAATTGGGCAAATAACCAATTTTGGCTCGTTGCGGCAAAGTGCGGGGGAGGGACGGCAGACGGCTGCAAATAGATCAACGGTCGGTCTCGGTGGCTTCGCTGAACGATCTGTTGTGGGTGGTGTCGGCCCAGTTCGGGGAGACACCGTTCCGTCGCCGGCGGGGCAGGGGCGGGGGCGGGGGCGGGGGCGACGATCAGCTGATGCGCCCACCCTCGCCAAGAACCGGCGCCGGCACCGCGCCGGGCTGGGATAGCGGGGCGAAACAGAGCGGCCAGACGGCTGTCGGCCACCCCACCGGCTAGAAATGCGGCGCCGGTGGCGACGCGACGCTGGAATGGAATCCAGCCGCAGGAATCCGCGGCTCTAACGCGTGGGCGACGATGGCTATACTTGGTGTGGTACATGGAGAGCTGATAGTAGCTGGGAATAAATAGTTAGCTCGCTGGGAAGGCGGTCAGCCTTAACCCGCTGCATCGCGCCGCTTCCTTTGAGCGAAGGGTGACCGAATTACTGCTCGCTGCGAGCAGACAGAATATGCATACTGCGTAGTTGCCAGCGGGCTCTTCGTCTCGTTCGTACGCAGGTCGCGCGCCGTCGCGTTCGCCGCTGGCAAAAACACGCCGGCACCGTTCGCCGGGCTGCGGCGCGTCGGCTCGGCTCACGGCCCCGCTCGCTGCCTCATTGGGTGCCTCGCCGGCTGCCTCGTCGGCTTGTTGATGGGCTAGTTCGCTCCCACTGGCTCCTTATCGTTGATTACCCCCGAGCCGACTGTTGTGTTGGTTCTATCTCGGGCGGGGGCGGCGCTCGGCGGCGGTCCGGGGTGACCTGTTGCCTCCACAGCCGCCTCCGCCGCCGCCGGCAGGCAGCATGGTTGGTATTGATCGTCTGGGGATAACTGGTGGGCTGAGGGCGACACCCGGCCCACCCACCTGGGCCTCGGCGCGGCCGCCCCCGCCCCCGCCCCCGCCTCTGCCGTAGCCGACGCCAGAGCCGCCGCCCCCCGCCCCGCTTCCGCTCCTGATACCACTCTTATCTTCAACGTTTAGGATATGCGATTAACCCTGTTTTCTGTCTCTAAATAGGCATCCTTTAAAAATATGTTCGGGAATCGGGGTAATCATAGCGTTCTTACTGTTTTCCTCGAAGTACCAATGGTGCATTACAATCAGGTGCTCTATTGGATGGGACTTTCTCCGTCCGGCCGGGGGCTGCAGATGCGACACTATCACTCAGGCGGGCACCGGGTGAATGCTTGTCTGGGGACCGGGAGACCGATGGGGAAAGGTCCGGGAACGCGGCCGATCCATCTCGCCTTCCGTCGTCGGCGGCGAGCGGCGTCGCGGCCGACGGGGGCGGATCGACCCGGGCGCGCCGGCGGCGGCGACGGTGAGCAGACGCTTATGGACGGAGCGCGATCGAGAGGAGACGGTCTGGGGCGCGGCGGGAGCGGACCGATTGGTGAGCATCCTGTCTGGGAGTGGCGTCATGTGGAATGATGGTATTAGTCTGACAATGGAAACTCTGACTCAGTGGTATGACGGTAGCGACCGAGATTGTTGTAATAACTCACGGCGGATAAACGGAAACCTTGGCGACGTCATGAGACGTTTTACGTGACGTGAGAGGCCTGTCTTAAACATTGCAGTTGTGTTCAGTGGTGACGACATGACATACGCAGTCGTCTACTGCGCCCCATTCCGTTTTGTGTCCTTGGGAAGGAGTTCTCTCCCGGCGCGATCGGGACCGCGTCTGGCCAGTCCGCCGGGCCCCTCGGTGGTCAGTCCGGCCCGGCTGCGGCCCGGTCCGGTTGTTTACTGCGATAGGAGCAGGTATCGGCCGGCTGATCGGCTGTCCAGCGACTGCCTGGCCTTGTGGTCGGCTTGCCGAGCCGGCCCCGTTACACGGACCGCCGCTGCTGAACGCTGAGCCCGTCACTGGTTGTCGTGTTCGTGCCGTAATTGCGCTGCAAGCTGGCGAACTGACAGCTCTGAGCTGGTGATAGCCTGTATGGGCTGTGGAGAGATCTGATCGTTACCTGCCTCATTGAGAGAAGAGGTTTCTGATGATGGCTAACATCAACATATGCCGCGGCGCAGTGGTGGTTGTTGTTAGCGTCATCGCGGTGCGCTGTTACACGCGCAGTGTTCGGTCTCGATTGGACAAAAACGCCGTAAACGTTTTGTTGTTTAGCCCATTTAGCCACTGATGGGGAGAACAAAAGTGCGGCGCCGCACAGTGCGCCGGTAGAGCAGGCGGATCTGGTCGACCGCCGCGGCGCCACCGCGTCCGTCCGGTCCCAAATGTCAGCGACAGAGGGACGCCGGTGGCATTTGAGCTGTGATTGACCGCTCGAGCGCACGTCAAACTAAGTGGAAGACCACTGGGCCGCTGTGACGGTCACATCCCCGGTCGGCCGTCACCGGTCGTATTCCACCGACTGTCGGCCGGCCGGGGTAATTAATTATCAGCCGCTGCGACATATACCGGCACTGGCCTTGGCCTAGAACGGGCCGATTTTCCACCGTGTGTCTCTCTGTGTGTCGGGGCGAGCTCGACGCAGGCCGCCCCGCCCGCACCCACCCACTCTTCCAGCAGGGGTCCCAGCGGGATGGGTGGTGGGCGGCTGCGGATGGGACGGGTTACGCCTGACGAATAAACATCGTGCTCTAAGCGCGCTCGCCGGACCACAGAGATGCCTCAGACCGACCTTGCACTGCTGTTGTTTGCGTCGGGGATGTGGAGCGTATGCATGCAATTAGTGACGTGCGACGCTAGCTCGTCAGGTCGTCTTAGCTTGAAGACGGGAAGAGCCACCGCGATGCGGGGGTACAGTTGATACCACACGGGCTTTCCCTTGTGTGGTCAGCTCTGTTCTGTATACTGCTACTGACGTAAATTGGACGTCAGGAAATCTGGTTTTGACCGAGAAAAGCTGGAAAGAGTAGCCTGCCACGGGTAGTCTCCGTAATGATGCAGATTTATAGTGTTGATCCATAGTATTGATCCAGAGCCAGACTGTTGGAAGTGTCGATGGAAGTCTAAGTAATGTGGACCAGATCGCTGAGATCTCTTAAAGTTTGTTTTGCTTTGCAGTTTGCATTTGTTGGGAATATCGTTGAGGAACTCCAGTAGCCCTACACAAATGTTTTGCTACGCTATCTGTGGAATTGTCTGTGTTTGACATATCGACTTTTTTCATTTGCAATCGTTGCGCTTATCACAGTATTCTGGTTGTGACCGCCGTTTCCTCTGTTTGGCAGCACGCGGATGATCAAACAGGGTGACCCGTTCATCGGCCGCCGGGTGAAGGTGAAGGCGGGGCCCGGTCGGCCGGTGGCGCCGGCCGGCCGTCGGCCCGACTCGCTGCCGCACCGGTCGCCCACCATGCAGCCGCGCCAGCCGCCGGTCTCCGCGCCCCCGCCGCCGTCCGCCCCAGGCCGGCCCGCGGCCCTCTCCGGTCGGCCCGGGGCGCCCGCCGGCCGGCCCGCTCCGGGCACCGCGCCCGGACGGCCGGCGACCGCCTCTGCCGGCGGCGGCGGCGGAGGCGGGCCCGCCTCCTCCGACGTGATGCGCCGCCCTCTCAAGTGAGCAGCCGTGCCGCCGCGCGCCATCAAAGCCTCCTCCTCAGTGTGTGGGTCCCCCGCTCCCGTCTCCCGACGTCCGCTGCTGACTGGTCCCTCCACTCTCCTGTCGTCTGTTACTAACCAACACCGGCCGGACCTTGCCCGCTGGGCTCCCGGCCCGTCGTCTCGACCCATCACCTCTTATCCTCACCCCAGAGCGCCTATCTGCCAGCATCGAATGTTGTGTGGACTCCCCCTTCCTGTCACGCCCCTGACTGGTGTCTTGGCCCGACCTATCAACCCTCCGCCTCTGTCTGATCAGCAAACATCACCCACCGTGCTGCCTGTCCCGGTAAACAGACTGTGCTGACCGGTAAACAGGCGGTATTGTTGTCTGGTGGTACTGGGAGTGGTCAGCGTCCCTCGCCTCAGTCTCAGATCAGTCCATTGTCTCAGTTTAGTTCATCTTATTGCGTTTCAGTTGCATCCATCGCCCCCTCGCTTCCCGTTTCTCGTCCCTCTCTTGCAATCCCATCGTTTGTCATGATGTACCCTGTAACTTTCCCTGGTAGCACGTTGCTGTGAAATACTTCACTGCAGAACGTAAATCCATCTCCATTTTTATGTTTAATCGTCTCGTTTCCAACCCACCGTTTCTCTTTTTCACTTTTGTTTCATCTCTGCTCACTCAGTTCCTGTCAGAGTCCGTTTCCACCGCCGTTGAGTGCCCTGGAGTGCCTGTGGACCTGTGGGGTGCCCGCGGAGTGCTGTCCAGTACGGTCACGCCGTGTGTGCGGGATGCCGGTACAAGTCCGCCCTCAGCGGCAGTGTTTGTGACCTGGATCATGTCCGCGGAACGTCTGGACTGTCCTGGACTAGTCAGGGGCCCTCCGGGGTTGGACGGTTGTCCAGGAGACGCGAGTGATGTGACTGGACGGGTGGACTATAATGTTGATGTAAGTATCAGCTGTCCAGGCTATGAGCCCGTGTTTTGATTTGTGAAGCACGGGTATATGCGAATGAGAACATAACTTCGTTACGGATTAGGTATGTAATGCTTAGAAATGGAAAGTCAAATATTTATGCGAAGGTCGTAAGAGGTGCTTCAGGGGAGGCAAGTGTCGAATTTTGCTGATACTGTGCCATTGCATGGAGCTGACTGTTTCTGTGGCTTTGTTTCAGAGAGAGGCTCGCACATCTGTTGGCAACACGACCGCGCAAAAAGGTGGAAGTTATGCAAAAACTGTACAAAGGTGCGTATTTCTACGGCTATTGCCGGTTTGGTTGTATTTGTTGTCTGTCTATGCCTTTTATGCCGAAAAAGTGTCTCAATACAGGGTAGACGGAGCTACAGTTGTGGTTAATGATGTCACATGGCAGCACCACATGTGGCGAATTATGCCATTCAGGTGCACGGGTGTTATATGACAGATTTATTCGTGAATCAAGTAGGTCTGTTATAGGAACTGGCGAGTTCTGAGAACTCAGCGATAGTGGGGGCGTGGCAACGTGTTTCCTTTGTCCAAGCTATGTGTTATTTTTACCTTAGGATGTCATTATTTGAAGACAGTGAGGCAGAGACGCCCTACAATAATCGATTGTGTCAAGAGATGACGCATTTTCTTGCGACGAAGACGTACTTCGGTAACGCACAGTGCGTGGTATCGTATCGAATGCAGTATCAACGCAGATAACGCGCAATCTGTGGATGTTGGAACCTTGGACGGTGGCGCAGCTCCTCTCGCACGTTATTTCAAGAAGGACACCTGGCACTGACCTAGACGGTTTAAGCTGCATTTATCGAACAATATATCTGTGCGTGCGGAACAGAGGTGTGTGCCCTGACTGTCGTTAAGACATGGAAGTACGATGCCATCTCGACTGCGGTGGGTGGAGCGGCGCGCGCGTGCCGGCCGAGTGTTGAACCCTGTCCGCCGCACGGAACCCTTTCCAAGAAGTAGGAACTGCCGCCTGCCGCCTGCTGCTGTGAACTGCCATCCATCTACCAACCGCTCGCCACCCGGAGACCGAGCAGATTCTCCATCGCCACCCCCCGCGGCGGTATAAACACTGACGGAATAATGTCGACAGCGCGGCCGCGGACAGCACACCGGTAGCCATGGGCAACACGGCTGCATATGTGGACCCTTGTCGACCGGTTACGGCCAACACCGGGCCAGAACGAAGCCGCAGGGGTAGTGATAGACTTCGTGAGGGGTGGAGTTGGTGTGTCTATTGTCGATCGTAGACGTTTGTGCCATCGTTAAATCATGGCTGCGCTCGCGGAGGGCGGCGCCGGTGCCTGCGGAGGGCACTGCTGCTGTGGCCGCCCCGGTGGCGGTCGGCGGTGACGGTCGGCGATTTCGGGGTAGTGGCGTGACTCGGTGGGTTTTACTGACCGCCCTCCGTCCCTCAGCGGGTGACTCACGGCCGCAGCGAGCTGTCTCCGAGAGGTGTTTTTGTTTCGAAGTGACGTGGTGATGTAAGACTGACGTTCGGTGATGTGATGTGGTGTCCACTGATGTGTGACGTGATGTGATTTGGACCGTAATGTCTCACGCGATCCATGATGTCGCTTTGAGCTCGTGATTTACTGAAGATGTCTCGCGGAGACTCAAGAGAATGAAAAATGATCTTGTCTACTGATGGCTGTATGTTGCGTCATCTTTTCCTCAGCCTGGACCCGATTGAGGACCGAGAGCTGTGCGAGTTTGCCAATGTTTTGGGCTGACCTAGGCGTGATTCCGTTTGTAGAAAACCTCACCATCGTTTCGTCGTATTTGTCTCGTCATGCAGGCGCACCCATTCTAAGAAGCACCTTATCTGTCGCGTAGCTGACCGCATCGATTGTTCTCTGGGGGGCTTCCGTCAGCGCTTTTGATGTCTATATTATGTCCTGGTGTCCTCATGTCCGGCTGTTCGGCGACCTAGTATCGTCATGTCGTGCTGTAGCCTGCAGAAGCTACCCTCGCTGTTCACATGAAGGTCTACCGACCGCAAATCCCGCTTCAAGTACATGTCGGATTAAGTTACTAGATGGATGCGTCAGGACAGTGACGGATGGCTTTGTTTTCGTGTCATAACCTTCTGAAGCTAATGCTCGACAAGGCGATTGACTGTTCAGGTGTAATCTCTAGTTCAGGCTTGGGTCCTGCTGACTTCATCAGCTCGCTATGAGTGATCACACCATGATTGGCCGCCCCGACCTCTCTCCCTCCCTCCCTGCTCTGTTTCGGTGTGTACTGCGTGCGCGACCGCTCTCCCTCACTGACCTCTCTCCCTCTCTCTGCTCTTCCTCAGACGGTATCCGGGAGAAGGACAAGAAGAACGTGCACGGCCTGCTCGGCTCGGTGGCTACGCTACGCGACAACGTCTACTACCTGAAGCGGCATTGCTGGAACGACGTCTCGCAGGACTGGCCGTTCTACACGGAGCAGGAGCGGCGCGACTTCGCCGCCCACCGACCGGAGAACCTGACGCCGCCCAGCAGCGACTCGAGCAGCGGACGGTCACCGGCTGGGAAGCGCCCGTCGCCGTCTGGTGCTGACCCCCCGGCCGGCTCGGCCGCTGCCGCCGCCGCCGCCAAGCGCCAGCGGGTGTCGCACTACAAGCGGCCTGGCGAGGCAGCCCCGGGTCCCGGCAGGCCGCGAGCCGCGGACGCCGCTGGGTCCGAGCGGCGCAACACGGGCCCGCAGTACGACTGGAACAAGACGGCCGCCCAGTCGCCGAGCTCGACTGGTGTCAGCGACCGCACGCCGACGCCCGACTCGTCGCCCGACAGCCGCCACTCGGGCTCGTCGGCGACGCGGGAGGAGGAGCCGGACTACGTCAGGTGAGACTCCGGGAGAGGTGCCGGGGCGCGGTGGGCAGACCGGGAACCGGATATCTGCATTGGTCAGTGTTGGCGTAACGTGGGATTGAAATTTCCAAAGGAAGTGAAAATTTAAGGTTACGATGCAGGCGGTAGATGTGAGATCCTCTGGGGCGACTATGAACTACTTTGAACATCTTAGCACGAAAGTACTCGTGACGTCCTGATCAACTGTGGCCCTAGATCCATATACATTTGTGAGACAAGCGACCGGGCCAAGCTCATGTTAGTGTCCGCTTTGATAAGAACCCGATTCGCGGCGCATATTGCGATGCCATCAAAGCAGGCGGCTGGATGGCTTCGCACGAGCTTAATTCCATAGCCGTTTCAAACGCTGCTGCATCAGACGACTGTTGGCTGTTTGATGCAGCTTTGATGCCGTTTGAACAGGATCAGGAGATGTAACTAAACGGAAACTAGTCGGAACGGAAGAGCCACTGGATGCCAGCTTCACCACGGCGGCCCTGACTAACCATTACTGTTAACGCCAGACCCCTTGAGACCCTAATTTTTCGCGATTACTTTTAAATGCGTGAAGGAATTTCAACCAAGCTCAGGACATGGCCGTTTCAAGACAGGCCGAAACTTTTACAATTTAGATATTTTATCGCCATTTCAATATTTCAGGCACTTGTCATTGACTCGTAATGTTAACTGTTTTTCCATCCTGGATAGAGGCTTTCTACGTCATATGACATTAGGCTCCGCCCACGACTGCGGCATTGACCCGTGCCCATCAGCGACCTCTGTACAAACGACACCCCTGCCATCTGTGAAGGACTATGAATTTCGCTGACGCTTCACGTGCTATGAGTCAATTGCAGCAGACGGTCAAGTAAATGTTAGGCTCTTGTTGACTCTTGTATATAGGACCAAGAGGACCATCACTCCTCAACCTACTACTCAGTCGTGCTTCGAACAAACGTTAACGATTCCTAACAAATACGATTTTCGATGTAGGGTATCTGTTTGAAATACGAGCGAGCCGTATGATGTGAAGCTCAGGCAATTAACTTATTATTGCGTTGTTCGATGGTTGCATAGCGATGTACAAATCGGCAGCTACTTGGTGACATCCGACATCCCATTATCGCATTATCTGCAACGCCATAGGCTTTAAATACAGGTGAATATTTCCTAACCTTATGTCAGTTATATGCCATCTGCCCGTCATATGCAGCTTATATAAAAAAATATCAGCGAACATATCAGCATTGTAGATGCAATGCGCATTGAGCATTTATGACTCCTTAGTCATCATGTCGCTCTCTGGGCACTGTCAGCCAAGACGCTACGCACAACTCCGCCGGCTTTCGGCACCGCTCGACCGTCCCCGCTCCCCGCCACAGCGCGAGTGACCGCGCGCCGGCCCGAAACCGCCGCAGGCCAAGACCACAGAGGCGGGCTTAGCTGTGACGTCATAACGTATCACAGACTGACTGGTGATAGCCTCTACACACCGGATGAAAATCTTGCTCGAAATTTAACATTACGAGTCAATGACAAGTGCCTGAAATATTGAAATGGCGATAAAATATCTAAATTGTAAAAGTTTCGGCCTGTCTTGAAACGGCCATGTCCTGAGCTTGGTTGAAATTCCTTCACGCATTTAAAAGTAATCGCGAAAAATTAGGGTCTCAAGGGGTCTGGCGTTAACAGTAGATTGTCGACTGTAGTGGTCCCATGGGCTTGAGCGGTTGTAGTTCCAGTGGCTTTTGAGCTCTCGCCCACTGCTCCTAGTAAAATGCGACCCTCCGCTCGCGCTGTCAATCCATCGTCCAACGCTTCGTTTCTGCCTGTATTGGTGTACGCGCTCCCCCTTCTGTCTGAGGTCTCTAGCGTTAGCTTTCGTCCCACTTCACCGTACCGAAGTGCACCATAGCGGGCGGCGCGTTGGCGGCGCGCGGCTCCGTCAGCCACGTCACCTCGACTCGGACAGGACTTATACGGGGCAAAGGCGAGGGAGAGAGTGACTGAGTGAGAGAAAACGTGACGTGAGGAGAGGGGAGTGAGTGAGGAGAGAGTGAACGGTGCGAGGCATGGGACTAACCGGCCAACCGGAATGGCAGCCATAATGGAAGAGGCTGGGAAAGAGTGAAACCTTGTGGACACTAGTAATTTCTTTGGTACAGCGACACCCGCTCAGCCCATGCTGTCCAGGAAGTGTCTCTGTAAATATGGCCTCTGGTCCCGATTTGTCTGCACTGATCGAGAACACTTGCCGTCGCTCGCCGCGCCGGGTCTGGTCATGTCTGGTTTGGTCTGGTCTGGTCGGAGCATGTCGGGTGTACTCGACTGCCCTGCACCGTTGCGCCACGGTGGCTCACCCGTTACCACATCGGGTAGGCCGCGGTGCGGCTCCTGTGACCGATACTGTCTCCCCGTCGTGACCGACGAGGTCAGACAGGTCATCAGGTCAACAGCGGTGGCGGTCAGGTCAGGGTAGATGTTAGAAAGGTCAGGGCACGGCACCGTGGGAGAGTCAAATTCCTGAGAAATCAGAAAGTTGTGTAGCGTTTGGTATTACCTTCATGCGTCATGTGACGTTGAAGTGAACCAGACGCGTACTTTTTGTAGGTACAGAAGGGAGTGCCACAGCTGAATCGACAGCCGACGCAGAGAATGTCAACATTTGGAGCGCGACCTTTACGGCGCGCGGGTGGCGGCCGGCTGGTGCAAAATTGATCGGCCGCCCCTCCTGAGAGGGAGCCCATCTCCTTTGCAATGTTGCGCCAGGCTACGGCTGGCGCTAGTGCCGCCCCCGCCCCCGCCCCCGCCCCCGTCCGGCCCCCGCCCGCGCCCCCGCCCGGCCGTGGCGCCGCGAAGTTGGTCGCTACTCGGCTGCAAACTTTTGGCGGTGCTGGGGACGATGTGCCCGTCACCGGCATGACTGGCGAATTTCGAACCGGGCGAAAATCGTGAACGTTTGCGCTGCGATGCGTTTGCGCCATGGCATCAAAGTCGCGCCGCACATTCAAAAGGCAGGACTGTGTCGTTACTATGGATCAGAGCTGACTGGCGATATGATGAGAACACGTTAGTAGATGGTCCCTGTTACCGACTGCTTGTATAAAGTCGTCGCTGATGCAATGCATATCGTGGGGTTTGCCTAACAGTTGCCAAATAAGTATGTCAGATAAGAATGCTATTCACTTCACCGCCGAAGGTTCCCCAAGTTTGCACTTCTAGTGCCATTTCTCATCATAGACTTGACGTGCGCAAACAACCCCAAAATTATCAAACTGAAATATCGTACTTACCTTTGAGGTTTCTGAGTAGGCTCCGCGGATATTTTTAGATTTGTTAATTCTAATGTTTATCTACGTTATGTTTGCGTTATGATTTGAGGGAGGAGCTTGACATGATCCGATATCAGCTACCGCCGCCGCCTTTACAGCCTGGCTCGCTCTTGTCTATTTCGTTTTGATGTCCTGTCGGGGCTGCGGTTTGAACAACGTGAAACTGCTCTGCCATACTTGGGCCTGGGATGCAATATTTGTTGCAATGCTGCTACTAATGTTAGCATAACCGTGTAGCACTCCGCCTATGGACGTTCAGTCTATGATGCCAGCTCCCGCGGAGTCTCCGATATTTTGACATGGAGCACAACCCTGGCCCGGGCTGGGACGGCCCATTGCTGGCTGTGAGCGGTCGCGGCATTGAGCAACACCTGCCGGGCCACGGACTGGGCGTCCCTGTGACCGTCGACCGGGCATGCCCGGACAGGACCGGCCGAGCCGCTACCGTCCAGCCCTGACCGTTCACCGGCCGAGCAGCTTAGAAGCCGAGCGGCCGCCCCCAGGTGCCATTAATTAGACGCACTTTGAGCCGGTCCGAAAGCGAGACTTTGAACCGGAGCGGTCGGCCGTCGCGTGCCTGGCGTCCCGGCTGTCTGAATTGTCGGCGAACTGACTACAAATGGAAGTCCGGGAACCGAACGCCCGGGGCGGCGATCGGCTCGCTCCGGGCTCGCTCCGACTCGGGGAGGCTCCGGAGAAGCCCGGAGAAGGCCGGAGGCGAGCCGGACCAACTCCGGAGGGTGGGGTCATCCCATCCGGACGGACCACTTTGCGGATTTGGCCGCGCCGGAGATGTGGAGCTAACCGCACCTGTTTCGTGTCTGAAGTAAATGGCGGCGATTGCGAAGCTCGCCTGTCAGAGAAGTTATCGGGAGTTGGGCGCTTTGTTGGAACTGCCTGATGGCCGGGCCGAGCGAGCCGGGCTTTTGTTTGAGGTAGGCCGGATTTGTGTGAGAAGTAGCTGCGTGATCGGGTGCGGCGGGATCAAGGGTTCTGCTCTGCAGAACTTGGCTGTTATCTCAACGAGCTACGGCTGAGGTTCCTGGAATTGTTATTGCTTGGTTGCGTTTGCCAATAGGGAGAACCGGGTTTAATTGGCCTCGGTGTGTGAAAAGTACTTTAACGATGTAACTGATTCCAGGTATCCATCTGTTTGTGTCGCTTAATTGCCGCCTTGCAGGCAGTTTACTGAACGACCACTTTTTGTGTTTTTCCCTCTACCTGCCTAGCGTGAATCTAGGGGAAAACTGCCGCCCGTGAAAACTAACCGGCGCCTGTCACTCACTAACTAACTCGTATATCTTCTTTCCGGCAGTCAATACGTTCCAATCACGTCCGAGCAGCAACTGCAGCGGTACAAGGCAGACTTCGAGGTGGGCTACGCCGAGTACCAGCGGCTCTGGGAGCTGGTGGGTACCGTGTACCGCAAGTTTGCCGACCTGGAGCAGCAGCTGAGAGCGGCCGAGGAGGGCTCCGAACAGTGGAGGGTAAGAGAGCGAGGAATACGGAGACGGGAGGGTAGAGGGCGGGACAGAGAGGGCTGGGTAGGAATAATGGCCTCAGATGGCTACTAAGTATGGTGAGGTGGCTAGAAAAGGACACGTCCATATGAAAATCACATTTCGTTATTTGCGTGAGAGGGCCAGGTTTCTAGAATTCATCAGGCTCAGCTTGTGGTAACTCACCATCGCTTCGGGTGTGCCTGGTCGGTTATGTAACACGCCGCATGGCTACACGACATTATGCGAGGCTGGCAGCGGGTGTCTGAGATGACGTGATCCACCCGTCTCTGTGTCGCTGGTTCGGGGAGCGAATAGCGCCGCTGCCGACCGGAAATCCGCGCCCGGCGAAAGCCGAATCCAACCGGCCCGTCCCCGCCATGTGCCGTGGAATTATGTAGCGACACGGTTCAGTGGATGATACGGAAACGATTAGTTGGGGGGTGTTGTGTGATGTGTCGCAGTTGAGGATGTCAGTTTTCGTACGATGAAAGTCCTGTGTCTGTTGTGTTTGTGGTGCACCCGGTCCCTGTATGTCATGTTTGAATGTTTTACCGATTCTTAGCACTGAGTAGTTTTATATTTCGAATCTAATTTAACCGCCCGGCTGCAAAGTTCAGTGCATGTGTACTGTATAAATAATCTAGTCTGGCAGACAGTGGCACGTTGCCTGTTTGATTTTACACGTGCCCCGTCCCTGAACGTGCCCCCGAGTGGTGTGGGCGGGCCGGGCTGTCTGCTCGCCTTTTTCAGTGAGCTGTTTGTACAGTGTGCCTGTAGCCACCATCTGTTGTTCCTGGAACGCCCGCCGCTGACGGATGACTCTGTCGCCGGCGCGAGAAAGTGTTTTAGCCGACAACTGTGGCCCCCGGCTCTCTCCATCCGTCTGTCTGTCCGTCTGTCTGTCCGTCTGTCTGTCTGTCTGTCTGCTGACAAATTGGAAACACTGGTGGTGTTGTGAGGGTTAGAGAAGGAAGAGAGGGGTAACGGGACGTCGTGTCACTTTTCACCAAGTGGACCTTGTATTGAGTGTGTTTTCATCTCTTGAGCTGGACCGGCCAAACCTAAGCTTTAAGCTCCATGATTGTCTTGTGCTGTTAGAAGGCGTGATTCGAACAAACTGCCAACATTAGCTGGGTTTGTGGGTCAATAGGTCGCAACACATGCTCTACCAGCTGTGAACATTTACCGCTTCACTGATTCTAGGGGATTGTCGTGCTCCTTCAGTAGCTTTAGTCGTTTCTAAAGTATCTTTGTGTATAGTTGAACAGGCTTGTGAGAGTTCCGTTTCTCTATTGTCCACTGTCTAACCACGTCTTGTTCAGTGACCGCTAAGGCTGGATAATTCCTTCCCCTCACACCCCTCTATGGACGCGCTGAGTAGAGGCCCGGAACGGAGAGAGATGTGCGCTCCGTGAGGGGCGCTACTTTCGCGGCCGGCTGGCCACCGGTCGAGTCGGTGGTCCGTGTCGAGTCTGTATGCTCCCGTGAAGTGGCTAACATCTGGCGAGGCCTGGTTAACAGGAGAGTTTCTGATAGCCAGTGTCTGTGTCCGGGTTAATGGGTGTGATGTGTCGGAATCGGTCCGCGGCAGATGCTACTGCTGCTGTTGGTACAGACTGCCGGTCCGCCGCGCGGAGCCGGTCCCCAGTGGCTCCCGTTAGTCTGCTGTGTGACCGTGAAAACTGCAGCCACCGTGAAGGGCCACCGTGCAGTGGCCTGCCCCCTCTCCCCCTCACTGACCGCCCCCTCCCCTCTGATCCCCAGGGCATCGAGCGCGCCATTCGCGACGAGTACGAGGCGTGTAACAACGAGGAATACAAGGCGGCTCGCCGGCGCTGGTTCTACCTACAGAACAAGCTGCAGTACGTCAAGGCACTGGTGCGGCGGTGGCAGGCAGAACGGTAGTGGGCCGCGCGCGCGCACGAGCACCCCTCGCTCTGTGCCGCCGTGCCGTCGCCGACGCTGTGTGTACATAGACAGATGCAGCTTTATCGAAATAGCCCGGTTGAACGGCGCTGCGGGCGCGCCACGCCGCGGGCGCGGCGCGGCGGCCGGCGCTCGGGTCGCCGGCCGCGCCGCCGGCGTCCCGCGGCCGGCCGCCGTATTTATATCGGAGTATGATGCCACACTACTGAAGATCTTAGCGGCCGATCTGCGCAGGCCGGGCCAGCGGCCACCGCACGCGGCCGGCCGCGCCGCGCCGCGAGTTCCTAGGCGCGCCCGGCCGGACGCACCGACCCGACGACCCGGACCGACTGACGCGCCGCGACGCACGCGACGGACGCGACGCCCGCTCTGGGCCGACGGACGAGTGACGGTGGGCAGACCGTCGACTGGACGCTGAGACGCTTCTGACGGGCGGCGCGCCGCCCCCCGTCTCCCTGTCCGTCTGTGTGTGTGTGTGTGTGTGTGTATGTCCGTGTGTGTGTGAGAGGTGTGCGGAGCGGGTGTGTCCACTGTCCGTCGGGTGTGTGTCCGGGGCCGCGCGGCGCCTCCCTCCCGTCTGATCGTCCGAGCTTTCACCTGTTGTCGCACGGCCGGGCCAAATCAAAACCGGGCGCTGGCGGCGGCGGGCGGCCCAGGGCCCCGCTCCCGCCCCCGCCCCCGCCGCCGCCCGGGCCTGCCGCTCGGGACTCCGCCAACGCGGGCTGTTTGCGTAGCCTCTTACGGGTGTTACTTTTGTATGGTTTGCTCAATGGCCGGCTGACGGGTCCGGTGGCCGGGAGGCGGGCCGCCGCTCGGCACCGATCCCCCGCCCAGTGCCTAGTCTGTCTAGTCTGGTGGCCGGCCCGCAGTCTGTCCCAGTCGGCAGCCATGCCGGTGGAGCGGGACGGGCTGTCCCCCCGGGAGCGGCCGTCCTGAGTCCGCCGGCCCTCTGACCGACCGGGGCTACCCTGGGTGTCCGGGGACGGGACGGGACGGGAGAGAGAGTGGCGGAGCGGGTAGAGCTCCCCGGGTGATAGAGCGGGCGGCGGGCTGCCGGCGCCTACTGGTTGTGACCCATCCGATTCCTCTATGTGACGACCTAAATATGATATCTGCCTGTTGTTTTTATATCAATAAACATGCATACTCGTTTGTGTTGTTTGGCCGGCGACGGGGCCGCTGTGTCTGTCAGTGTTTGTATGTCTGTGCGTGTGCCGCCCCTCCCGTCCCCTCCCATCCCGTCCCTAATCGTCCCCCGAGCCCCGTCCCCCTCACGTCCCGTGCTTCCGCGGTGGAGGAATCTCCTCTTCAGGTCGTCTCGGCGGCCGACCTTTCAACGAAAAGTACAAAATCCTGGCGCCGCTCCGTCCGCGTGACGCCCTTCTCAGCTGACTGACGCGCGCGCTGACCTCGAACGTGACGTGGACGTGGACGAGACGTGGACAGGACGTGACGGACGTGATGTCGAGCTCCAGGCCGGGCGAGGGCTCGCGGCCGCGCGGCCGCCGCCCCCATTGTGATACCCCTAACGACCTTCCGCCGGATACAGACCAGAAGCGCTCGCCACTCGTCCCTGTAGATATGTCTTATGCTCTGTCCGCGCCGTCGTCGTCGTCGCGTCTTCACGTCTATCCGGTGGCCAAATGGAAAAGCCAATGTGAGTGACAACACAGGAGGGTAGAGTAATTTATCGGAGCAGTGGCGGCCGGTACGTGGCGGCGCCGTATCTCACAAAACATGATAAAAACAGTCGTGTCTGTCGGTCTCCTGAGGCGTCCGTTCGGGGATTGCGGTGACCTGTTTGTGTGCGTGTGTGTGTGTGCGCGGGGAATTCCAGTGCGCCGGCGCGCCGGCCGGGCGGCCGCCGTCGGCGCGCGCGCGCCACTCTTCCCGTCCCCCGTTCAGTGCCATGACGTGTGTGAGGTGCGCGCGGCGGGCCGCGCCTGAGCCGAGAACGGCCGGCGGGCCGCCAGCAGAGGGAGGAGCGCGAGAGAGCTGGATGGAGCAGCGCTGCCGAGTCGCAGCCACTTGAATTGTCTTTCTGCGGACCGCTAGTCCGCTCGTCTCAATGCGGCCCGATTCCGGCACAACCAAATCTCTGAGCGTCCATTGTTGATACCGCTCCGTATTCGTTGGAGAGTCTGTGGGACTGGCTGCTCTCTGCCCAGCGGCGGGCGCTGGTAACCGAAGTTGATTTTCTCGTTGAGAGATGGCGCTGCACTCAGTTTTGCCTGGCGGCTGCCCGGCTGGCCGCTCCCCCACGGCGAGCAGGGATGACACGGCGTCGGAGGTGTCCCGCGTGTGATGCAAACATTCGACAAAATAAAACTGTATTGCATGCAACCGGCTTTGGGCGATGAACCGGGGACTGTCGCTGTGATGTGTGGATGATGGGATGTTGGGTGAACGTCTTTCGAGACTCGAGAGCGTGCGGAACCGATAGGCATGCTAGATGGTAGTTCTTCAGTCGATAACCGCCGTCCGCAATTCAGTGCGGCTTCTATACACTATGCAGTCACATATTGCACTGGGTTGTCGAAACCGTTTTAGATGTCGAGAATTGTCCTGCCACATCGAGACTACCTTCAGGCTCAGCTGCCGAATTGGTGTAGGTGCTGTAAACTACTTGGAGCCTGGAGGATATGCCCGGAAGCCAGATCCTCGAGTTCACATAAGATACCGATTTGTGCTCATCCTGACCGGAAGGTTCTGGTTTTCCCCATGAGCTTTCCAACTCATTGAAACTTGAAAGTCACTGGGGATTTTGTCGTTCAACCGCAGAGCACCAGTGCACTTTTGCTGGCTCCGATCCTCTCCCATCTCGATATTCTTTGACACGAGACCATCAACAAAGACACGTCATTAGTAGATGCGATTTATAAGCATTTCTACCCATTCAACAGTTCGAACGCACGACTCGAAAAATAACATCGAACCGGTACACAGTAAGTATGGCACAATGTCTTGACAGCGAGGGCTAGCACCCGACCGGCCAGCGCCCTGCCCTGCCGCACCAGCCCCGGCCAGGCCATCACAATACACACAACCGGCGCGACACAACACGGTACTCCTCTCAACAACAGCGTCCCCCGACCTCTCAGCTGGCGCCCGTTCAAAGCGCCGCCGTTGGCTGGAAGACCTACACTGGCGAAGCGGCAGGAATAAAGCGGATGAGCGCCGTCTGGCGGAGAGACGGTGCTGCCACCACGCGGTCCGCGGGCCAACTATCCTGTATGTACACAAACACTGAAAAGCTCGCACGACGTGCGGCCCCACGGCGGGATACACATTAATGAGACTGAGGAGGCGGCCCGCGCGGTTCGGATACCGCGTCACAACATAAATAAGGTAATAATAGTCCATTGGTATCACGAGAGCGGGCCAGGCCGCCGACAAGAGGCGTCCTCGGCCGCAGAGGACCAGCTGCCCTAGTCACGCACTTTCACACGCTCCCACACGAGTCCGCAGCTCACGGCTGCCACGCTGTCGTTCCCACCGGGTAGAGGGGCCGAAGCCGACCCGCCTGCCACTGCCGAGGGTCAGCCGCCGCCGTGCGCCAGTAGCGGCGTCAGCAGCGGCGCCAGGAGCGGCGCCAGCGCCGGCGGCGGCGGGCCGGCTGAGATCAGGCAGGCCGCGCCCGAGAGGGGCGCCGCGCCGTCGGCTAGTTCCCCGTCCGGCCGACAGGTGGCAGCCGCGTCTCAACCGACGTCCAAACACGTGCGGCAGCAGTCGCTGCGGATGTCCTGCATTGAGCAGAGCGACAGCCGCCGGGCGCGCGAGCAGAAGTTCTTGAGGTCTCGACAGCCACTCCCTGCCAACAGAACGGGTGTCGGTGATGATCGAAGGGTCGGTCACTCTCACTGGCCAGGTCAACAGCGTCATCAGTCAAAGCGGCTCAACTGCTTTTAGATGCGCAGTGAGAAGTGATGCCATTGCGAAATGGTCAGCTGCCGAACTACATACAAGACGAAGTTGTAAGAATGAATCACGTAGCTACTAGTCTTCACATCAAGCCAATGCGCCCAACCATAGCGAATGATTCAGTTTTGCTCCTAATTTCATAAGATCTCAGTGCTCACTCATAAGATGAGCAAAACATTGAAAGACATCTCACGCCGGGCATTCCGAAATGCCCACGGCTGCCGTACCACTCACTCTTTTCGGCAAAATATCCAAATAAAATCACGTACCATCATCGCGTTCATCATGCGCTATGCTGCCAGAAGGGTCCCCGGGAGACTCCTGCACTGGAAAAACAACACGGCAAACATTCAGCGGGTGGCAGGCGGCGGCGGCGGCAGCGGGCGGGACGATAGGAGGCGTGCGGAGTAGCTCAGGGTACACCCACACGCGCCAGACACGTAGCCAGAATTACTCTACTAGCGCGACGAGGAAAAACTCGAGTAGGGAGTCGTGGTATTTTTTTGCAATTTCGTTACTCAAATGCGTCTTCACATTGGAAATAAACATTGTAATGCAATTATGGTTGAAAAGTATCGTGTTGTCTTCGCTGTCAACTGATACTGTTTAGCACAATGAGGTCACAATGGTGGCAGGTGCAAGGCTTCCAGTTCCATGAGGTCAAAGTTTTGGTGTTCGGGGGCGGGGGCTATCCTGGCTACGTCCCTAGCACTCACATGAATGAGTGGCTACAGATGACGCCGAGGGTTAGAGGCGAGAGCGTCAGGAGGGCAGAGAGAGCGCCGAGGCGACGGGAGGGCGAGGCAGAGTGAGCTACTGTGAGACAGAGGTGAGCGTGCCCCGTGAGAGGGTGAGACAACCGGTGCAGGGTGACATGCCACGCTAGCTAACAAGTAACAACACACGAATTACGGTGCTTGTTGAGTGTTCGCCCTGAGGATAAAACGGACTGCACGCCCGGTCCAAACGCTGGATAAAGACAAGACAAATGCAGACAACCCTGACAGAAAATTCGGCACAATACGTGGCACACCAACGGACAACCCAGTTCACCACAGCCCAACACACGACCAGTGCTGTGCAGTGGGCAAAACTACACACACACCGATCCCACACAAGCAAGCGAATCACACACAAATTTACCCACCAACCCAATCGCCTCCCTCCCCGCACCATCCCCCATACTCACCCGGGGGGCACGTAGGGCCGACACAGGGCTTGTAGACCAGCGGCCGGGGCTGGTCGCGGCACGTGTTCCCCGCCGGTTTGTTGGTGCCGGACCAGACACAGCGCAGGATGCGGGTCTGGTAGCCAGCCGATCCGCAGCGGGCCGAACACTCGGACCACGGCTCGACGCGCCACACGCCGCGACACCGGTCGTTGTAGCACTCCTGGCGGCCGTCGGGCCGCTGGCGACGGTCGCACAGTCGCGGGTGGACCGTCGTGCCGTTCGGGAGCCGGCAGCTGATCTTCCGTCTCTGCATCGCTGTGAACGAGACAAAAGGAGGGGAGGAATGAGTCCGTGTTTGGTGAAACAGTTGATAGTATCGGAAGATGCAAGATCAAGTGACGATTCACTAGTGAGCTACGTATCCGAAAAGTACATAATAAGCAATACAGGTAAGACACTGTCGTAGAAGGTTCGAAACAAACATAATCTTTGTGTCTGGGCAGGTCAGGGATTGAACAATATGCTGGACGCATACTCCACTTCAATATGCTACCTATAAGAGCTCAATTTCTGCCCCAATCCTTCCCCCGTCCCAGTGTCCCCCGGACAAGCCTCTCACCACTCCAGAGTCCCCCTCTCCTCCCCTCTCTCACCATAGTTCCACTGGACGCAGCGCGAGCGGCGGCACGACCTCCACTCGCCGACATGCCAGCTGGGACAGGGCATCTGGCCGCACGGCCGCACCGAGCGCGGGCTGGGCAGACCTTTGTCCTCACACAGGGCAGCTGACACGGTACGAGTCGTGTTGTTCAGCTTGACCAGGCACTGGGTGGCCCGCAGCTCGTAGCCGCTACCGCCGCAGGTGCGAGAGCACGGAGACCAGTCGGTGATGAGCCACTCGAAACGCACCTCGGACGGGTCGCCTGCCGGAGGGAGCGTGGGGAGTCAATTTGAGACCTCAAAGACCTCAAAGACCTCAGTGAGGTTGAGGGGAGGTCAGGTGAACTGGCGTGGCAAAGTGCCTCCTGCTTAGAGGTGGGGTTTGATGTGATAAAATGTGGTGCAGAGGTGCAATCTTTCGATTCGAGTTAGGAAGCAAATAAACTTAAGGTACTAGGCATGCATCCCATAAATGAAATGAATAGACCTGAATATAACATCGTTTTATAGATATACAAGGTCAAGTGCACCACCCTTTCATTAAAACCGCTCCTTTTCATCGATCGACGACCGTCTTGCATTCAGGCATCATAACAGGTTATCTATCAGCAGCCAGAGCGCACTCTCACCTTTACCGAGGACCTCGATCACCCCCTCGTCCAGGCCGTGCGAGGAATCCGTCGCCTCCCCGGCGCCACCCGTGCCCTCCGGTCCCTCCGCCATGGGCGCCGGGGCGGCGACCACAGTGCCATCTGTACTGTCTCCCTCCCGCACGGTGGCAGCACCGTCGCCTTCGGTGTCGGCGGGGGCGTCAGAGACGGTGTCGAAAGCGGCGGATGAGGCGGCAGCAGCGGTGGTGGTGGTGGTGCTTTGCGTGGTGCCAGGAGTGGTGCTCGTGGTGGTGGTCGATTTTCTGCTCCAGCGCGAGCGCTGTCGGCTCCTGCCGCTACCCAGCACCAGACCCTGAAACAGCCCAGTGCGAAAGTTAGTTGGCACAGCAGACAGAGGTCGAATTATGACGCTAAGTGGTAGCTGCCGAGAGTTGTCACGATGTCACTGACGTATAGCAGTTTTGGGAGACAGTCAGAGATGCAGCTATCAGTCAGCCAGGTCCCGGTGAATGAATACGAGACAAGTACACAATGAGTACACACAGTTCCTTCACTTCGTTCCTGGCCTTGGTCGAGTTCGGAGGTGTTAGCTACGGCGGCGTTTACTGCGCGTTTTGTGCTTGGGTGCTTTTGGTGTTTTTTTTTTGTGCCTTTTTGAGTAGTTACTAGTAGTTTTTCACTTAATTTATAATATTTTGTTGGTCGTTTTTGATTCAGTTCGTTTTCCTTTTCTAGTTAACTGATTTTCTGGGTTCATAGAGGGAGATGGGACCTGAGGAGATAAAGGCTCTAGTGGCTGCGGCCGTTGGTAAGGAGCTGGAAGGTGTTAAAAAGCAAATCACTGAACTTAAAGCTGAGACTGAGCAACTCAAAAAAGAAAATCTTCATCTTCGTAAGGCAGTCAAAATTTTAGAGGACTCTGTGGACGAGGTGGAACAGTATTCTAGGAAGTCGTGTCTGATCCTGAGTGGGGATGCCATCCCTGAACCGAAAAAGGATGAAACAACTGAGGAGACTAGAGCCATGGCACTGGGTGTGATGAAAGAGAAACTTAAAGTAGATGTCAAAGGTGGAGTTGTGGCATGCCATCGCCTGAAGAACAAAAAAAGAGTAATTGTAAAGTTTCAGGACATGGACGACAGGGAGAAGGTGTACCAAGCAAAATTCAACCAGACTGAGGGCGCTAGTGTAGTCATCCATGAAAACCTAACTGATAGGCGTGCCAGGCAGGTCAAAGTACTGTCCGACATGAAGCGAGACAATGATCACGTAGTGAACTATCACACTAAAAATGGGATCATCCTGGCTAGGGACTCGAGGGATAAGCGGTATGCCAGGATCCAGCCATCCTACAGCCGTGATGAGATCATCCAAGCCATGCGTGAGGCTCCGGCTCTCTCCTTCACTGGAGGCAGACGTGATGCTTCCCATGGCAGATTCCTGGTGTCCCAAACCCTTGAGAGCATCCCTGCTGGCCTGGTCCTGAACAAAGCGGAGGATATCGAGAGCCTGACTGTGCACAAGGGCAACAAAAAGGACAAGCGCGTGACTAGAAACACCAGCAACAACAGCTAAGGACTAGGTACTAAAGAAAGAAAATCAGGTGAGACACCTAGAAATAGCTTGTATTTCAGATGTCAGACATCAAGTAAAAGGATCATTCTGCTATCATTTCCTTAAATTAATTACCTATGAATATCTTGCATATTTACTCAGAAGTAGTTTATTTCCACTCTAACACACTGTAAAATAATGATTGGACTGGGCTGTGTCCTGGGCCCTTGCTCTTGAAAGTAAGCTGGTTTTGCACTACTTGTGCTAAGCAAAGGTCTGCCTACGAGACATTTTTAATGTCAACTGAATTGGCTTTGAGTACAGTTTAACACTACATACAAATTACATATGTAATACATGCACAAATATATACATGTCTATCAATAATTGACATATTGCATAATTTACTGCATAACAGTACAATAGCACATAATAAATGCTGATGTATTGGTTTAGGCTCATCCCACTGTGTTCATATGTCTAGTTGATTCATGCTAATGAAACTCTCTTTCATTTGTAGAATATTGTAGTGTGTCACATGAGGCAACCTAACCTACAACATGCCCAATAGTGTGAGCAGTTGTCTTGTGGTGATGTGATTATTGCCTACTGGCAGCCTCTCACCTGGAGACAGGTGGTTTTATGTATGAATGCTGGCACCTTGCCTGGTAACAGGCTGTTTTATTGTGTGAATGAGCGTGAAAACGCCCAGTTCCAGCACGCCGCTGGCTGACTTTTAGTAATGAATGGCATGGTGACATGCTAGGCCCATGGGTCTTTTTATTGTATGCTTGAGTGCCTTGTGTGACTGATGTGAGGTTAATCTCAAAGCAACATACTTTTGTTCTACACTCATTGGGTATCGTTATGGTTGCATAACTTCAAATGTGGTCAAAATGGTTGCAGATGCACATTCACATTGTGTTCCTTCTGTGCATTTCATGTGTAGCACTCAATATGTACAACATACAATGATATACTAGATATTCATGTGGATTCATGGGTGGATGCCTGATTGATATATCTGTCATTTATACCTTCCATACATTATGCATGAACACATGCCTCACTTGCCTCACATGCCTCACATAACACCTACAAACATATAACATACTCACAACTTGTCTGTTATCCTTCCTTATTCAATATTTTCCATCTTTTCTTGGGGCTGGGGCCTGGGACGCAGTCCAGTCAGTCCACTTGCGACATCTACTGTCAGCAACAGAAACCATTTTCATATAGATGTCGCTGTGTGCGCTGGAGTATCACACGCTTCAGTAATTGCGTTATATATCGGACCAGGCTCTCGATTCATACCACTCTTGATCATTAATCTTTCATACCTCTCCTTACATACCACCTACCTTTCATACCTCTCCTACCTAACTAAAATAACTTGCCTACCAAATCAACTTGCCTAACCAAATTAAATTGTTTAAGCTTGCCCTGGCCTTGGCCTGGCCCTGCGATCGTTGTGTGGCGGGCGCCGGGGTGCTGTTTGCCGCTGTAGGGCGTCGGGGTCGGATAGCAGGCTCTCTGCGCCTGCCACCGCGATCTGGTCTTTAAAACGTCTTTAATAAACTATTAAATCTCCTTCTCTGAACCCAGTCTTGTACTGGTTTACTCTTACAGTTACTTAACCCCTTAACTTTACTTTCGCTTCCTACTCCAACAGATCATTTGTATGACAAACGCTTTTGAAGAAAAACTATTTGATCCCTTCCCGTCAACCCCTGGTGATGTGTATGATCTGCCGCATCATACGTTTGACAAAGTTAGAAATAATTGCACCTTTCATATGCCAGGTGAAACTCGTCACATCATCACAAATGATTCAACTAAATTCAACATTCTTCATCTTAATGCACGCTCTATTGTCAACAAACTTGATGATATCTGCTGCCTGTTAAAAGAAACCGAAATTTTCTGGCACATAATCTCTATATCAGAAACTTGGGTTTCAAAATCGATTCAAAATAATTACAATATACCCGGCTATCATGCCATATTTTGTGAAAGACTCGATGGCATTGGGGGTGGCTCAGCAATATACATAGATAATCGTCTGCAACCTGAAACTTTACAATGCCCCAGCTTTACCACTGCAGAAGTAGCATGTGCTAATATCAAATTTAATAATGCGTCAAATATAATAATATGTCAAATATATCGATCTCCGAATTCAGACAAGAATAAATTCAACAGTGAGCTAGAGCAATGCCTTATCTGGCTCTGCAAATTGAATAGGATCACCTTTATCACTGGAGACTTTAACTTTGACCTCTTTGCTATTGAAACATGTGCACAATCTCAGGTATTCTTCACTACTCAGTTGTCTCATGGCTTTTTTCCTACTATATCTAAAACGACCAGGTTGACGGACTCATCCTCAACATTGATAGACAACATATTTTGCAATGACCTGTCAAGGGTGGCACACTCTGGTATCATTATGAGTGATATCTCTGACCATTTCCCCATTTACACATCATTTAATCTTAATCCCCGCACTGTTGACTACAATAAAGAGAATATAGCTAAGACACAAATCTTTGACTTTAAAAAGATAAATGAGTTCAATGAATTTCTTCGTATTAAACTTCAAAATTTTGAAAGCGAATCGTGCCCCGAGATCATGGCTAATATTCTTATCAATGCTTACAATGAAGGCATTGCACGGTTCTCCTACAGTAAAAATACGTCCAGAAAGCATGCTCCGAGAATGCCATGGGTATCTCCCGCCATATTGCAGTCAATCTCGCACAAGCATCAACTATTTAAAGAGAAACTGCGAAGGCCTTCACGGGAGAACGTAACTAAGTATAATGAATACAAAAACATCCTTATAAATGTAATAAGGTCTGCAAAAAAGAGGTATTATTCACGCGAATTCGACAGGCACTCGAACAGCTCAAAAGATACATGGAAAACAATACAACATCTAATAAACACGAAACAAAATACGGATGACATACCCACAAGTCTGAACGATACTAATGGTGACACTATTTCAGGTGATGAGGATATAGCTGACCACTTCAACGTTTTCTTTACAGAAATTGGCGAAAATTTACGAAAGCACATTCCGCCCTCTTCAAGAGATCCTCTTCAGCTAATACCTAACTCGGAAAATGAAATGCATTTAGACCCTACAAATGAGCATGAACTAGAAACAATAATCGAGAATTTAAAAAACGTGGGTGCGGGGATTGATAACATCAATTCCAAAATATTCAAACAATCATATAAAACGATAGTCAAGCATCTTCTGCATTTTTACAATAAATGCTTGGACACTGGAACGTTTCCCTCTGCCTTGAAAATAGCTGTTATAAAGCCTATCTTCAAGGGAGGTAATAATCGCCTGGCAAATAATTATAGACCAATTAGTATATTGCCGTTTATGTCGAAAGTGCTTGAAAAAATTATATACAGTAGACTAATGGACTTCATTATTGAAAATGACATTATTCACGAACATCAATTTGGATTTCAAAAGAATAAAACAACCTATATGCCCATTCTGCTTCTTCAGGAGATTATTACGAAGGCCTTTGAGGAGGGAGAATTTGCATTGGGCGTGTTTCTGGATATACGTAAGGCATTTGATACTGTTAATATTGATATACTCTTAGCGAAACTACATAGATATGGTGTAAGACAAAAAGCACTTCAGATCATGACGTCCTATTTATCTGATAGAACACAATATGTCAAAATTAGAAATAATTACTCAACGCGTAAATCGGTCACCATGGGAGTCCCACAGGGATCAATTCTCGGACCTTTGCTCTTTCTAATATATATAAATGATCTACCTCAAATTAGCCAAAATATGATTTGTTTATCCTATGCTGATGACACAGCAATCATTTTCAAAAATAAAAGTACTTTGGATCTCCAACAAATGCTAGATGTCACCTTGCCACTCATTAGTGATTGGTTTCACGCTAACTTTCTCTCCTTAAATTTATCAAAAACATGCACACAACATTATAGTACACGCTCTGTTAACTTTAAGCTGGAGGTAAAACTATGTAACCAGTCAATCGAGGAAAGTGAGCATATTAAATACCTGGGGGTGTTTATTGATAAGTCGCTTAAATTTTCGAAACACATTGATTATACATCAAAAATAATAAGTCGAAACATCGGAATCATTGCAAGAGTGCGATATTTCTTGAACAAAAATACTACACTTCTTCTTTACAACAGTTTGATACTTCCATACTTGAACTATTGCTGCATTATCTGGGGGAATAATTATGATTCCCAATTACATAAACTACTCATCCTACAGAAACGAGCGATAAGGCTAATTGAACATGTCTACCCCCCTCAGAGCTCTGAACCCATCTTCAAACAATATAATTTACTGAAAGTAAATGATCTTGCAAAGTCACAGATGCTCTTAGTTATGCATAAATATATAACACATCAATTACCAAACATATTTAATGACATATACAAAATGCACGCAGGTGCAACTCATCATACACGACAAATACAACATTTGATTCAACCTTTCTCCAACCGTAATTATAGATTATTCACTTCTGCTCTTCTAGGACCTAAACTGTGGAATGAAGTAATGCCCCCACAATTCGGTTCCGTAAATGATGTTCCCCTTTCAAAAGCTGTAATAAAGAAGCTGATTAAAAAACACTTTTTAGATAAATATAGGAGCTGAACAGTCTCATATGAACTGTTCTGCATCTTATGATGCGATCTGCACTGCCCTTGACAGTCATTGCACAAATATTGGAAATATTTGCATACTTGAAATGAAGTATGTAACTTAATTCTTCTTCTTTCTTTCCTTTTGCTAGATCGAGTCCAGTAGCCCATTTCCTGTCGCCCTCTGGAGACCCGTCTAGCAACAAGCTCTGCTTAGCTGGACGGGCTCGAGAGGCGGCAAAATAACCTTGCATGAATCTGACCACGACCAGCCTGCTTGCTCCCCCTGCCCCTGTAATAATGTATGACTGACTAACTAACCATGGTATGAATGCATGCTATAAAAAAAAATCGTAGTACTAGTCGAAGCTATTTTTAGCTTTGATTACTTTCAGCCTCTTGTATGCATGATTTATAACACTGTTTGTTTGTGTGCACGGGGTTTTTTGCTTCCATTTTTGTTCTCTTCCTTTCTTAGCAGGGAGTGTCACGACTTGAATACTTTTGTTTCATTGGTGTTAACGTATGGTTCTGTGGTCGTGCGGGACCGTGGGTGGACACTCCTGGTCGTCTGTTCACGGGCGGCGGACTATTTCGTAGTGTAGAAAAAAAAAGTGTTTCTTAGTCTGCTTTCGGGCCTAGCACTCACTTCATATACGCGTCAAACGTTTTTGTTCGATTGAGTAGTTTCTGAGGTGATACGGATGAGATAACACATAGGTTCGATCGTAAAACGAGCAAGAAATCACCCACTTAACACGCAAAATAAAAGTTGCACAATGCACAACACAATGAAGTCGACTTCGGAATCCTTAAATCCATGCAACACCGATATAAAATGTGAACAAGTATAAAAGTAAATGAAAATATTGCATAATGCACATGCCTGAGCCTCTATCAAATGCTGGGATAGAATATATTTATATGAAACAACAGACGCATGAATGCCACCATTCCGTTTTTAGTACACCGACACCGTATAAAGGGAAGAAGAATAAGCAATATATCCAGATAGCAGATGAGCGTGATACGAACGTGATATCTAATGGATGAAAATACGTCGCTCCTTGACGGTATGCTTTGCTTCCTATTACTTCATTGGGAAAAATTTGAATTCTACGAAAATTGCACCTTTCTGAATGCCCGTCTTGTAATCATACAGCCGAGGCGCTGACTGGAGGCGGGGTCGGCAAACTATTTGGGACTACAGCAATCGTGCGTGACCGGGGTGCTGAACAAGCCTCCTTTATCGTCTTCTAGTGCTTTCCTCTGCCACTGGAGAGTGGAAGCTGACGTATCCTTGTCGCAAACGAGAGTGGGTGCTGGTTGTGAGAAGGGCAGGGTGCCGCATTGGGCAGGGCAGGGCAGGGCAGGGCAAGGCAGGGCAAGGCAGGGTAGGGTAGACAATCATGCTGGAAACCAGATCCGGTGACGATGACGCTCCAGACAAAGCAAATCCTCTGCTAGCCAGCTCCAGTGAAGCCAACTCACTCCAGCTCACAGGGAAGGGTGGGGAAAGCTGGAACACACAAACTACCTCCATCAAATCATTTCAGTCCGGTTCAGCAGCCAGGCCGGGCGGGTGCGATCAGACCATTCGGGTGCGCGCGCGCCAGGCCAGGCCAGGGTACACAGACAGAGGGCTCGCCGGGCAGCCGACCCACCTGAAGACCCGAGACCAGCCGCTGAAAGTGCGGCTCGACCCGGCCGGCCGACGACCGGACCTGACCCGCCTTGAGCTCAAGGTCGCGGACGGCCGTCCCTTCACGCTGCACGGGGTATGGGGGATGGATGATGAGAGGTCCGAACAACCAGAGGCACCGAACACTGCTGTTTGGTTCAATGTGGCTGAGGTCGCATGACAATTTTAGTAATTGAAATAAAACACGGCATCAGGACCAGAATTCAGTTCAGCTCAGTGAAACTAAAGGCGCGATCAAAGGTCATGGGAAAATAATGAACGTCACATCTAACGTAACTGTCATTGACGACTCAGTGAAACAACTGTCAATGAGCACAACATATTTGAATAATTCTAATTTTAAATGAACGGAGAAATAATTTCAGTCAAAATACGCGAATGAATTGTCCTGAGATAGCGATTAGAGCGTTCATGGAGGCGAGAAGGAACCAACTTAAAATCATGCTCCACTGTTCAGCAGTCCCATAAACCGAGTCTGAGGCATGAAATAAGGGCGAGAAGAAGATATCTTACTGCGTATCATGCAGTCTCTACTAATACTCGAACTCATACGACTGATAAATACATCGTACTCGTTTTCAGGAGCCACTGTTCCGACTGTACACTTGCGTGATGCATCTTAGCTCAGCATTATGCCCTCACAATAACAGCCGCACCCGTGCCGCTCATATTAACCAAACGCAGCTGAAGTTACGACGGCACTGAAAGCGGCATGTCTGCAGCAGCTGTATCCAATAACAAAATGACAGCAGCAGCGGCGATCAAAGACAGCGCAGACTATGCAGTAAGTTGACTTTACTGGTCCTCCGCCATTCATTCAGCTATGCCTCTGAAATCGCCAGGCAGCGAAGCGCCGCCGCTAGCCATTCTCCGCGGCTCATGACCTTTTCGCCGACACCCCTAGCGGGCCCCATGCGACCCGGGTCGATTTAGTGACGTCACGCCTACCTTGGGCTGGTCGCTGTCGGACGCCTGCTGGTCTGAGACAAACTTGACGCGCACGTCGTTCATAGAGTCGGGTGATTCGCCGCTCGGGGGTACCTGATGGAGAGAAGTGACGTCACAACATAGAACAAGATAGACTGCTGGGACTAACAATGAGACCACGACAAAATTATCATTGAAATGAAATAATTATTTTATTTGAAATGCACATGTCGATTTCAATAAATGACATCTCATGATACCGGATATTACAAATAGAGACAAAATATCCCTGCAATGCATCGTATCGGTAGAGCTCGAGAAGGTATGTACGCATACTCGATGGTAGTGGCCTAATGGCTCAAACCCCTACACCTGTCGAGCAGCTCATTCCCGCCGGCACCGTCCTACAGTGCGTCGCTCCCTGAGGCACCCACCTGTCCGGAGTGGCGCTGTCCTCCGTCCGACACCCGTTCACCCACGACAGCTGTTCACCTATCCACCAGATAACCCGTTCCCCCCTGCCGAGGTACTCACCGGTCCGGAGTGGCGCTGTCCCCCCTCGGACACCTGCTCAATGGTGTTGGACAGCTCCATCTCCGTTCTCCGATGAGGCGGGTACTGCGGCGCCGCCGCCGCTGCCTCGGCTGTAAACAGACGAAGCCGTGAGGTCAGTGGCGATACGTTGTCACCAGGCTCAATTGCAACTTAAAACGATTAGGCTTCTTTGATAGAAATATGTCCCCATTATTTTTGCTGATGTTTATAGCATTCCTCACACTTAAATATAACTGCAGTTAATCTGTACGAGATAAAACTCGTACAAAGGCTCATATTTTCTAATTACAACATGCATCACAATTCTAAGCTCATTTGCCTTTTAAAATCAACTTGGATTGTCAGCAGCGCCCACAAGCAAAACGAATTCGACGAGTCAATCCTCCCCCTGGACTCACTTCGCAACGAACTACGACTACTCACCGAGTTTCTGTTCGAGTTTGCGCTGTTTCTTCCGCCGCCGCTCCTCTCGGAGTTTTTTCTTCTTCTGTCTCCTGAGTCGCCTCTCTTTGACCCACTGTGGCTCGTCGAAAGGACTCGGTCGAATCGACAGGTTCAAAGAGGCGGTCACCCCTCCCGCTGATCGAAGAAGGGGATGGGGAGGGGTGGGTCAATGGAAGGCTGGAACAGCCCCGTGCATAGGTGCATACATGCCTTATATAATTACGGTATATTAGGTCGTCTAATTGTACGGCCAATTTACGGCCAATTTAAAATGTGTGTGACAAATGGGTGGTGATGTGTCAAACAAGGCATTGATAAGAATACGGCCATTTAGGCAATTACCGGCAGGTATGTGTCGAGCTCGTCGTATGCAGGATTAATGACACCGCAAACTGGCATGCTACGAGCCACGAAACATGCTGGAGTAGTGCTAATGATGACCCTGAAGACGGCTCTACTGGCAAACGGACTGGTCCTTCCTCAGTCTAAGACGGAGGTTTAAGTTGTAATGGTATACATATACGCATACGTATACGACATACGTATACGTAATAAGCAAAACAAAGCAAATGGGCAATATCCATATAAACATTGATGCTATTTGGATTGATGACAAACTTCAGCATCAAGATCAACACATTGATATCAATTGTCCATTGCATGATATAAAACAAGTTTTGAAGCAAAGGAAGGTTCGAACACATTTGACCTCGTCATTAACTGATGTTAGGAGCTCACCGATGCAGGTGTACCGTCCAGCGTCATGATACTCGACGTGTCGAACTCTGACCTGACCGTTCGCCTTGAGGCGGTATTTACGGCCTCCCGTCATACGGTCACCGTCTTTGGTCCACACGATCTTTGACCTGGAGAGGAGGCGGCAGGCCACAAAAGGTCACTCAAGCGGAAATCAAATATACTGTTATACGGCTGCAAGGTATAGTGTTCGGTGGATCAATTAGGGTAGATGCTGGTATAATCATTCCGTACGACACATGGCAATGTTCAGGCATTCCGTATAATATAACGCGATGAACGTCTGTAACGCACCGTTCTGGTTAGAGGTAAAGGGCAAATGTTGCTACAACAATACCGGCAGCAGCACAAAGAATATTACAGACGAAGCCGGGCTGTAGCTATGGAGCTGCTACGCGGCTACATTCACCCTATCAAAGCCTTCAAAAACGGATTCAGCGCCGTCCGCCGTATAGTCCGCACCACGACGACGACGACGATGACAATAAGTACATAGGGGCAGTCAGCCGAGCTATACGATATTAAATCCTTTTTGTCGGTGCGTAGCGCATTGACTACTTTGCCAAGTAGAACGTCTGGCATTCCTAGAGAAGTACGGCTGCATTGCCCAGATCAAAGGGTTAAATGCAGCATGTGCGTGGCATGTCGATTAACAAAAGCTTCTATATTAAAATACAATAGCTGCGACCTGCTGCGATCTTACAGAGAGCTAAAAAATCGTATCCGCTATCGTTTATCTACGTCATTGGTACGCACATTATTTATGGTTGGTCCAGGTTTTGCAATTGCTTCTGATGTTTTATTGCCATGATTTTTTGCCCCATTAATTGAAGGTGTTCCGCCGCTGCTGCTTTAGTACTAGTTGATGCCAATGGTTTTCATTCCGTTCCATTAAAAATGCAATACAAATTAACCCGCGCCCCGCTGGGGGGGGGGCAGAATCTGCCCCCCTCCCGTTTTTCGCCAATAACTTCTAAACGCGTTACACCAGCGACGTCAAACTTTCAGTACCTTATCATACATCAATTTGACACATTCCCTGAGAATTTGAGCGAAATCCGTCGGAAAATTTTTGAGAAATTGACGTTTTAGTGACGTCATGTTCGCCATTTTCGCCTCAAAAACGGCAAAATTTCAAACGCCGCTAACATCTTCATTTGTAAAGGAATCAAGACGTAACAAAAAAGGTTATACGTGATTCTACTTTGTCTATCAAATGGCTACCTCGGTTTTTTGAAAATTTTGGATTTTGGCCCAAATTTTTAAAAAAAACTGACTTTTTTTGGGAAAATAATTATTAAATCCAAAATCTTGAGTGTATCGAAAAAAAACGGAATATATGTCAGAGAACTGCTCTATGTGCACCTGCATTCCAATTTTTAGAAGAATCGGATCAAAAATGTGGGAGTTATTCAAAATTTTATGACGTCACGACACACAAAAATTTTGAAAAAATGAATTTTTTGGAAGTTCTAGACCTCGTACGGAAACAAAAATAGCACCATTCGATTTGCCGTGAAAAACTGCATCAGATAAACACCTTTTTAGGCCTTAACAACCAACTTCAAAATTTGACCTCACTTGACCTGACCTTGACCTGACCTCGACCTGAAATTTATCCAGAAGTGGTCCAGATCAGTTATTGAGTGTGCCTATTGAATTCTATGAGTAAAATGACCCGTAAAACACTGTGTCGCACATGCCCTTTTCTATATTTTGTTTTTGGTGACCTGACCTGACCTGACCTGACCTTGACCTTGACCTTTGAATGACATTGTATGCAACGAATATTGTCTTGGTAGTCTAAGAACACGTTTTGGGCAATCAGCCTCATTCCATTCTTCGGCAGCTACGGTGCAAGGCCGATACTGTAGAAACTTGCATTTTGTACCCTTGACCTGACCTTGACCTGAGCTCTGACCTACTTAAGCAAAAAAATTGGGCTCATAAGATCCGCCTTGTTGAGAGCTTTCGATTGCCGTTTTCCCCGTCTTTCTACGACCATCGGTTCGGAAGTTAGACAGGGGGGGGCAGAATCTCCCCCCCCCCCCAGCAGGGCGCGTATGGCTGAATAGCCCAGCGGGGCGCGGGTTCAAAGGAAAGCGCTAGATCGCGGTCCTGTCATCATGCGCCCACGCAGTGTTGATGTGAACTTCATTACGTCGCTGTGTAAACTGGATCCACATCTCGCTCAGTGAGATGCCCAGATGAAGTCGGCTTCAGCTATGAGAGGTTTGTTGTGATCTCTGGAAAGCCCACTCAGCGGCTCTAGGCTCCGCACCGAAAACAGCGCGGCGCGCAAACCACGCAAAAGTATCAGACAATGCATAATTATAAAAACCATTTATAGGTACGCAGCCTTTACAACAGGGTTATTGATAAGAAGATAATGCAAGGAAAACTTTCAAAAAACCATCGAAAAGGAAAATTGCCATCAAATGTTCATTGTTTACTGCAGGATATCACAAAAATAATGGCTTGCAAAATTTGAGCACACAGCTCATTTACCTATCCCCATGGATATCAATGAGCCATCATTCATGATCCACAAATCTCGACAAATCCCCTATTGAGGGCTGGCAATATAATTAAAATGGAAACCAGCTTCATTCCATCAACCACAGAGCATACGCTCAATCTCTTACAGCCCCGACAGTAGAGCTCTCGCCCCGCAATACCCCAGCCTTCACCACGACTAACCGACCTCTGTGTCCCGAGTCCCGACCAATGTCATTGCCAGTCACAGCACATCGCCCTCCCGCCGAAAACTGACGTGTCGTGCAGGCATCAGTGTCACGGAACGTCAATTAACGCTGGCTTCACGGGCCGCACGGCACAAGACTCATTTTTCACACCCACTCAAAGTGGAAACCGGCACGCCACGAGCGAGCGAACAAAGGACGGAGCGAGGACAACAGTGAAGGGCAGAAAGAAGCATGGAGTATATCTGACCTTGCATTTTTACACGTGAACTTGTTTGCTACTCACGGTGTCTATTCTATCTCCTATATTCACTCATTTTTAAAATAGAACATTGACATTCCAATGATTTCATGTATAGCAATATTATCAATAACTTAATGATTGCAAAATTTATTCCATAAGATTTTCATTGAAAAAAAGAGCTGTATCTTCTCATTTAGATCATCCCCTTGAACTAAAGTTTAACAGCACCGTCGTCCTACATTTCGAACTCATTAAATTCTGATTCGATCTCCCCAAGTCCTCGGCAGTTTCGCCACTACTGTCTCAGCAATCGCTACTAACCCCGATAATCCTGCAATACCAATTCAGCGAGTGTCTCTGTCCACTCCGGGAGGCTCCGCGGACCTTCAAAGTAGAAAGGAGATCGGGCGGCTTTGGACGGCCAATCAGCTCGGTCTTCGTAGCACAGGGATCACGCAGAGAGAATGGAACAGAAGTGGCACCGACACGGTGGGAAACGGCGGCGATACGAGGGTCTAGCGCGGCTGTAAGAACGAGCTGCACAATGTACATGACTGAATACTAGGGTAACATAACCCTCGCCCGTAAACGGTGTTTTGCCACCTTCGCCCATGCAGGGGGGGGGGTGCGACCCCCCCCCTGGCGTTTGAAAACGGAGCGTCGTAGAGCTTAGCAGAAAAGACCAACGGATTGCTCTCAACGAGATCTCGCGATTGGTGGTATATTTTTTGGTCCTAGGTCAACATTTGACCTACTTATGACCGGTCAAAGGTCAAATTTTCGGAAAAATCTAACTTTTTCAGATTTCCGCGCCGATTGCGGCAAAACGGTAAGAGATGTCAACTTGAAACCTTCACTATCGTGATCCTTGATCAATTCTCTATCGTTTGGTGTGTATTTCGATGTCATAACTCTAAAAATGATGCGTTGGGAGCATCGGAAGTCTGCAAGGTCATTTGTGCATTGGGTCACGTCAGGCGTGTGACGTCACTGACCTGACCCTGACCCAAAATGAACTACAAGAAACAACCGACGTTGCCTGAAATGGATAGCAAATTCGAATTCAGGGCATCAAAATACCCCGAAAAGGCATACAAGTGCAAGAAGTCATTACAGGTCAACCGAGGTCACTGACCTTACCTTGACCTTTAGTAACCTTCAAAATGTCAACGGACATTGTGCCAATGTCAAATCAGCCAGTTGTGATTCTAAAACAATCCATCAGTGTGTCAGGTCAGTCGGCATTTATACCAATGTGAAGCAATCTCCAATTTAGCGTAAATCTGGCCGGAGGTTGTTCCCTTTATGACGTCATAACTCCGTGACCTGACATGACCTTGACAAAAAAATACCAAAAGTTGCGCAAAGGATGCCCCAGAGGGTACTGAAAATTTGAGCAGGCTATCTGAAACGGTTCGGCGTGTAGCTAAGAAAAACCTCAGGGGGGGGGGGGGTTGCACCAACCCCCCCCCCCCCCTACATGGGCGAGGGATAATTTATACTCTACATAATCTGGATAAGGAATAACATAAAAATATGCCCAATTCATTATTGAGCTGTTGGGTCATTCACGAAAATGTGGTTAAACAGATCATCATTCTCCCGACCAAGAGTTATCAACCACCACATTACCTAATTATGGAGAGAATATCCCATGGATTTTTGCTGTCACTTGGAAATAAGGCCGCTATATCATTCAGTTTAGGCACCGCCACGCTCCGTCCGGCCGCCTACTCACAAACTCGCCGCTAGATGACACTAGCGTCGTGCGCCTGAAGATATGTTGTACCGCAGGATACGTATGTTTCTGTATTTACCGCTAGATGGCACTAGCGTCGTGCGCCTGAAGATATGCTGTACCGCAGGACACGTATGTTTCTGTATTTGCCGCTTCTGATATTGTCGCGCGCCTGAGGGTATGCTGTCCCCCAGACCACGTATGTTTCTATATCCGCCGCTAGATGACACGACTGTCGCGCGCCTGAAAGTATGCTGTACCGCCCGGCATGAATGCCCCTGCATCCACCGCTAGATGACACTAATAGACGCGTTTACATAGGGTTTGTTGCAAGCTTATATGTCCGTCCGTGATGTTGCAAAAGATGCCAATGGTGCTGAACAATTTACAAAATGATCCCCTCTAAATATTTGAAGACCACTGCATCGAAATTATCGCCAAATTAACGAGCTAGAGCCTCGTCAAGTATGCTATGTAAACCGGGTTAATGTCGTGCGCCTGAAGGTATGCTGTACCGCAATACAGGTATGCTTCTCCATTCGCCGCTAAATGACTCTTGCGTAAAGTGGGGGAAAGCGCCGCGTTACTAAGCTTTGTGATTGATAATTTCGACACCGTAACGATTCACATTGGCATTTGAGGATGTAACAGTGCGGATTTTGGAGGTCTTTACACAGTCTGAGCATGCGCTGAGGTTTCCAGCAGCTAAGCTTTGTGATTGATAATTTCGACACCGTAACGATTCACATTGGCATTTCAGGATGTAACAATGCGGATTTTGGAGGTCTTTACATAGTCTGAGCATGCGCTGAGGTTTCCAGCACGGACATACCTGTCGAAGTGTCGGACCGGACACTTGAGCTGGACCGTGGTGCCGTCGAAGACGACGGCCGAGCCGCCGATCTTCAGCGTGACCCGCCGCTGAGGCGTCTCTTGTTCATAGGACTGCCGGAGAAAAACGGAAAATGTGAGCAAAAGCGTCAGGCAGCATGTCTATAAGACCAGCAACTAGCGAACAGTGTCACATCATATCGCGGGTTGTGACAGGAATGTTCAAGATCAGTTTGGGAGGAGTCCGGGCGTTGAGATGACGAAGCCGATCTAAAAATGCTCGAATGAAAACGTCAACTCTACGTAAAAACGCCCGAAACGTCCCACTGCGAAGCCAAATGTTTCTTTTCTAGTATGCCAGTTCAAAGTCGTTTAACACGGACAAATCATACACGTCAGAGGCAGAAAAGCCCGGCGCACAGGGCCGCGACTCGGATAAACTCCAGTGTTGTCTCCCACCCGTCGTCTTTGTCTTGGTTTGTGGAACGTGACATCAAATAATAGAACAGCCGGAATGGGACAAACACAACGCACGGAAATTAGATGGACTCCAGAGAGAGACACGGTCACAAACCATTCAAACAATGCAGGCTTATATTCTACACAACGGAAAACATTCTATCTACATGTTGGATACCAGCGATCTTATAATTACCTGCCATGATACGCTTTATTCATCTTCGTTCATAAGGAAACCTGTCTTAGATGCATTACATGTTTAAGCAAAATATCAATAATCTAAAACATTTCCAAAATGAAAACCTTCCCCTTTACCATTTTCTGATCCCTTGGCAAAATGGGCATCCGCCCTGAATTGTGAGTCCGTCCATTTACGTTAGACCGTTCCACTACATTCTGACAGGTTTCATGAAGTTGAGCCCGATTAAGGCATGTTTTAGCCACTTTAAGGTGTTAATGATGTTTGCTTTTGGACTTGACATTGGGATCCCCAGCACCAACAGTGCGTGACGGCCCGTTCGGCTCGCCTCCATTGTTAATAATGTTGTTGCGCTCGGGCGGTGGTACCGTTTCCTGATGCACCGACGACAGCAGAAAGGCTACAGAGGTGAATTTTTCACCACCCTTCCGACACTCCTGCGCGCGGCAGCAGACAGCCAATGGTGACAAATGCCCACATGAACAGCTGTAGGATGGCGGAATGCGGAGCGATGACGGACGGGTTGGGGCCATGACGTCTGAATTGTGTCAAGCTTCCTTTAGGAGCAGCGGTCATTGCTTTCCGAAAGCAATGACCAAGTTCAAACTTCTAAGATTTTTTCGATACGCTGAAACAAGCCAATGCTAGAGGCAATCGCTAACGTGCGTCAACACTCACTCCAGTTTTTTATAGATTGCCGAATAGGGTAAAGACACAACCACAACTAAAAAACAAATAGTTATTTACTGTATTTTGGGTCACAAAATAATTATTTGTAAAACATAAAAATGTACATTCATTCGTATCGTCCATGAACATTTTGTTATCGTTGTGAATGCCATGGCTTTAAGCCTGTTTCAAAGAAAATGTACACAATTTCTTCAAGCGTAAGCAATGATTTGATGTTGCAGCATTTCCCAAAACTGCAAAATGTCCATGTTTTGTTGCTGGGCGAGAGCAAAACTAATCTGTATGAAAGTGGTGCATTTCGGGCAATTGCGGGCAAGGCTTCGAGGAACTTGTCAGTTCTTGAAACTCGCAATCGACCACTGCTTCTGGGCCGGTGTCACTCGAAATTACATCGAACGTCGCACATCCGGGACGCAACGAAACAGAAAAGTTCAGAAAATTGTCTCGCATAGCAACAGGCTTCTCGTGCTACGAATACGTCGTACAAGACTTGGATCAAGACATGACCAAAAGATGAGGCCTAAATATTGATAAGATTGTTAAATGGCAATGAATTCTATTCAACTGCGAGACATCGAGTGGTCTTCATTTCAGGGATTTAGCACAATAAGGGACAAATAATACATGGCTCATGTTTATTACGTTCAAATATCGATAAGATTTATCATGGGTAGGTACATACCACATGTATGTGGTATGCATGGGAGTAAGGCACAAGCGCGAGTGCCATTTGAGTGGTAAGTTGTGGTCAATAAGGCAGAAAACTGAGAATTTTTCACATACTCGTATTCAATTATCTCCCAAGTTAACCAAAAACGTTTAAATTCGTGAAAGAAAATGAGGAATACAAGTAAGGAGCCAAAACAGGGCAATTACAAACAAACAAATGACAAAACGTCTTCAATCATAATTCATAAACAAGAGCAGTCAAGGTTCTAGAACTTAATAATCCAACGAAAAATGGTCATTTTACATATTTCCATCTGTAGTGATCGCCATTTGGATGTACCTCATTACAAATGCTTCTCCGAATCATAAAGCCATAGATCACACCGATGAGCAGGATGCAACGGTACCTGATCTACGATTCACCGATTCAGCAGCCTATTCATAGCTTAGCTGCGGCATCCATCAATCGCCCTGCCACCTCGTCACCTGGCCGCATAGTCTTCACGTGAACTGCTGAATAAATGACGGCGAAAATGCCGACAAGGTCCACCGGTGGTGGCAATCATCGCATGGCTATTCACGGTGGTGGCAAAAATGCAGTACGATCACCCATAATGAGCTTTTAACGACGAGATAATAGGCGGTAGTGACAGTCATACATCTTCATGCGTCAGCCGGGATATAGTAGAACAACGCAAACAGAGCGAGATCAAGAAAGGGTCGCACTCATAACTATCACAAAAAATCTAAAAGTTATCTGTGAGGAAATCACACTTGGTTGGAGGCAATGATCTATGGCAAGTCATGCCTGAATAGGGGCGATCTATGTAAAATGTGTCCGGGCATACCATCTGATAGAAGGCTATGATCTGGGACCATTCATACCTGATTAGAGGCAATATAAAATAAATTCGGGCATACCTGGCTGGATACTTTCATCTGTAGCCCATCTTACTTGGTTGGAGGCAATGATATGGGTCGGGACTAGTCATACCTGGTTGGAAGCGATCTAAAATATGTCCAATCATACCTGGTTAGAGGCTATGACCTACGGCCAATCGTACCTGGTTAGAGGCGATGATCTGCGGACCGCGGCACTTTCTCGTGTTGCACGGCCTCTTGTGCGGTGGGCTCTTGGAGCCGCACATGGAGGGCGCCTTGTCTACCACGCTGCCGTCGGACATTCGCTGCTGACAGCGCAGCTTGCGAGTCTTGATGCCGCCGCCACACGATCGAGAGCACTGGGGAGAGAAAAGTGGTCAGTGGGCTGTATCGAGATGCATGGAGGAAGAGATAAGTCATCTTTATTAGATGAAGGGACGTTTGTAGTGCTACAATCAGCTTCAAGTGACGGTTCGGGTACATATATGCTGTGGATGTGCGCGAGTGTGCTCATTTCAGTTATTTCATCTCAGAGACGGAGTCAAGTTGCGCCAAGTTGTTCAAAACTATCCCGTCTTCTTCGACAATTGCATGTCTAACTCGCAAAAGTAGTCTAGCTTCTTCTATTAAGTCATCCCAAGTTCGGACGACAAGTCTCGTTCAATCTACGCAGCAGCACGGTAGTGCCACAAAACACGCTTTCAACGAAATTCAATCGACGTCGCAACAGCCATGTTTTTCCAACACACCAACTGTGCAATGACATGACGGACCAACTTGGACGGACAAAACGCCTACCCCGGCCGGCTAATGGCACATTCGGCCCCGCCCAACGATGTCGCGCCGCCATTCGCTCCCAGCCGACCACGGTCACAAGTCCAACATCCAAACCGGTCACGGCCAAAGTTCAGAGTTTGAAATCAATGCTCGTGTCCGATAGTCCGTGGGCAGGCCAGCGAAACACTCGCAATTCTGAGCGGAGAAAGGCCGTCCGTCGGCCGCCGAACTTATCGAGATTTGACCAAGTTTGACGGAGTGAACTGACGAACACATGCTTTCGGCGGCGGTACCCCCTAATCTCCCAATCCCCTGTGGCCGGAGAACGGCTCTGCATTGCGGAAGGCTGCCTGCCCGGGCCAAGTCACCGCTCAGGGTCCAGGCTTCGCACAGAGCCTTGTATAAGTTTCTCGGCCCTTGGACCGCGATGCGGTGCTGCCCAAGTTTGCAGCGACCATGTTGCAAGAACACTGTTAGTTTATGGTGTGTGCCGTGTGGTGATTCAGAGAGGACCAGAAGTTGATCATCACCAGGGTCCGACCGGGCTGTTGACCGGGTAGGAAAGCCGGATGTGACACCCAGCGTCCAATATAATGATCAAACGGTATGTTTTGAAGAATGGACGACTTAGCTATCGCCCACGGTGACTATCATCGCCATTCGTCAAAACGATGTGATAGGTGGCTGGGACTTGCCAAACAGCTCAAAGCGCCTCCTATTTTCTTTTACGCTTGGGGAATACGTTTTCGCGTTGCCGTACTCGAGTGACATTCTTCCAATGCATGCCAAACTTGGCAGATTTAACACCTGAGTGGAACATAACGTTGCCTAATGCCTTTTCTTGGAGACACAATAGAAATAATAACTTCTCTTTTTAGGGGGAGGGGGCACAACTAACTATGTACAACAAAGCCATCTCGATGGACAACCACATTCATGCCTTCACTGAAACACTTTTGAAGGTCAGAGCCAAAGTATCTCACCTCCTATATTTTCCTGCACCCCAGCAATCAGCATCACCGCCACAGATTTTGTCCCGCTCACACCAGTCCAGACACCTATACCTCACCGTCTCAGACTCATCTCACAACCGTCCTGCATCGACACCCACCCAACGGTTCCATCAGACGCCCATGACCCACCTCGCTCCAGGGCTCGGGCTGCCAGCGCGGCGGGCAGGTGACCATGTTGCACAGCTGGTTGTCGGCCGGTCGCGGGGCGGCACACTCCGAGTCAGCCACTGTCAGGGTGTTGCCCTCGCCCCGCGCCAGCTCATGGATACAGCTCACCTCACGGGTCTGCGTACCTGCCGGGTCAAAAAACGAGGGTTAGGGGTGTATGAGGCTCGGGTTAGAAGAAGTGTTAGTGGAAGAAGAAAGTCCAGGCAAGTACGAGCTTGCACTTTCAGGATAGAGATATAAGAAGCACAGCACCTCTTATGAGAGAGAAAGGGAGAACAGGAGGAAGGAAGAAAAATGGGCCGTGGGATGAGCGAGGGAGACCGAAGAAGAAAAGGGGGACGGAGAAAGAATGAGAGAGAAGCTCGAGTTGAACATAAGTTCATGCCCACACATATGTGATTATGGAGCTACTTCAAACATTTTAACGGCCATTTTTCTCCAATACCGACGCTAACACCCGTGAAGAGCTTATGATGTTTCCACACGGGCCAATATTCTAAACAGCGGCGGCGATTTCCCGGTGGAGCAATTGGCGTCGTTTCCGGTTCCATGGCCGCCGCGTCACCGGGCGCGCCACCATCGCCGTCCCACTGGTGCCATATGATGACACTGCAGCGGCCCGCGGGGCGCCGTTATTGCCACAAACTCGGCGTCAATCCATCATGGCGGCTGAGTAACGACGCCAGCTGGCGTCCACAGTGTGCAGAGTGTCGCACCCTGCAGTCCCTGATCCGGCTTCCATGTCCAGACAACAGGGCCGTGAGGCAGCTTCACTCGTAACGAAACGACACAATCAATTTTTAGAAGATATTGCACAATTATTTTCCTAGACGTGTCTACAAATATGTTCTCGGAGGTATTTAGGGGTCCTTATGCTGGTAAACGTTTACCCTCTGACGTCATAATGCCGCCCACAGTCGAGCATGTCAGGTCGCTTGGTCAGTCATCACTGTGTGGCTATAAGGTGTAACACGGGTAGCGTGTGGCAGTGACGCATTGAGCTGACGTAATGCCACCTCTCGTGATGGACCAAAGACCACACCGTGCTGAGGTTTCGTGGAAACCGCATGCCTAGATGGATTGCCTGACGCCCGACATCGGACGACAAATTACTTCCTTGCCTGAGTTCTACTCGGCCTGTCATGGACCATAATGACGTCAGTATGTCATGGAGAAGTGTGAGCGTGTCAGTGACATAAAAATGTCACGCTTGAAGCCTGTATGCTAGTGATCGTTCGCACACAGCCACGACGCACATGAATAAAGCAATCATAAGTATTCACGCCGACCTGAAATTTACTCCCGCACGCGACTCCTGACATTGCACACGAGGTGTAACAGTTCAGCAGCTAACGGGCGCTGACGTAGCTGGGACATTTTACTTCCATTACAGCAAATCACCGTCTTCAGCGCTATCCAAGGTGATAGTTGTTTGCCTCCAGAAGCAGAAAACGGAGATGGCGGGAGCAGTGCTGACTTTGTAACGGTCCGATGCAGCCCATCGGTATAGTTCTAGGCACAGTGCACACCCGCATTGAATCTGCAGCTATCAGATACAATATTGCACGGATTAGCTAGCACGCTTAGGCACACCAGCTGACCACTCTCTGACCACTCAATGAGCGCTTTCTGACAATCACCTGAGTCTGACCGCCCCTAACCATTTCCCGACTATTCTGACCATTCCCTGGCCGTCGTGTGGCCCAGCCGCAGGATTTGCCCGCAACAGTCCCCCCCTCCCCACCGCCTGGCTCGGCAGGCTGGGCACGCGTGCCCCGAAGCACTGCTCATTCTCCGTCTGCCACATCTCATCTGGGTGATGGAGCACGCACTCCGCCACTGACACATGCTGATCTCGTCCGGTACACTGACAGAAACATTCCCAGAGTGACGATTCATTGAACATGTCACCAGATGTAAGGATGGTCATTTGTCAACGGTTCAACAACAGATAAGCCAAGAAGTCTGGCATATATACTTGAAATAACATCGACTGAATCAAAATAGATATGTAATTCAGGGAACTGGTGCCATAATAAGTGGTTCGGGCTTTTACAAGCCGATGTCATGTGCTTTAGAAATGGATTATTTACGAATACTTATTTGCTAAAACGGAAATAATAGGACTGAAGCCAATACTACGGGTTCCATTAGACGAAAACCGCGACATTCCCGTAAAAAATTGAATATCATAACAAGACATAACAAGCCCTGCACATTTGGTGACAAAAATGCCTCGCAACCCATGAACAGTTGAAGCTGTTTTCCAGACCATGCATCCTAACAAGCACTCCAACTATAGAAACAGTATATACTAACCTTTTCCGCAGCGCCGTGAGCAGGCGGAGAATTCCGTGACGTTCCACCGCGGTGGACAGGGCTGGTCGTTACAGGTGCGTGTGATGCTGTCAGGACGGGTGTCCAGACTGCACTGGAAGGGGCTGACTTCCAGCCCGTCCGAGACGCGCACGCACTGCACCAGAGACTCCTGGACCCCGCCTGTGGGGAGGGAGAGGGGTTATAGAGACGCCATAGAGGGGCCCTCGGATGGTGAACGATTTATGCTGTATGTAACGGGATGGTAAAAGCGTCCATCGGCTTATGCAACAATGATAGTAACTACCTCAAAGTCCGTACAAGTTTCCGAAAGTAGTAGCAAACTAGTTCGGCCGCTGTTATTTATTCGTATAATTTCCAGCTGTTCGGCCTGTATCATTTATTCTAGTTATTCTTACTGGCCGAGCTGTTATACCCTGCTGCCAATAATCCCCATCACTCACCGAGGCAGGAGGAGCTGCACGGAGTGAACCCCGCCTTCTTCCAGACGAACCTGGCCTGTTCAGGCGGCTCGGGCGGCGGCTGGGCCTCCTTGGGTCGGATAACCACCACGCCGCTATCCAGTTCTCTCCCGTCACCGGCACCGCCACGACCGCCCTTCCTCATCCCTCCGAGCAGCTCGAACGAGCCGGCCACGTCCTGGTAGGTGCGCCCGCCGTTAAACATGTGCGTCCTCAGTCGGACCATCGAGTCGATCGGGCGCTCCGGACTGGAGAACTGGTCCGGATGGTGGCGAAGAGGAGGATCCGGGCCGGCGACATCCTCCGGACTGCCGAAGTCGTCGTCAAAAGGGTTGACCTCCGGACTGGAGAAGAGATCATCTCCGTCTCGGTAGTCGTCACGCGGAGAGTCGATTTCGGGGCTCGAGAACGGGTCAAGGTGGGGTCGACCGTGGTGCTCGGGGCTCGAGAACGGGTCAGAGTGCACGGCAGTGTCCCCGAGAGGCAACTCCGAGCTCGAGAAGTGGTCGAACGCGGGCGGGTCGTTGACGTCGTACAGGGCGTCGTAGGTGTGACGCGGTGTCTTGTCACTGCTCCGCTGCTGGTGCTGCTGCCGGAACGGCTGGTGGTAGCTGTCTCCCGACCTCAACCTGGAACCGATGGTGATGAAGGAAATAAAGAAATGTAAATAAATATGAAGAGTAAAAAACATGCTAGTTATCTTGAAGCTTGTAAGAAAACGTTTCAAATTCAACTTCTCAGTTTTCGTAAAGCATGAAAATATGTTATGGTAATGACACTGAAATAAAAATAACCCACCCGAACACATCCTTTGACAATTTAAAGACAATCAACGCTATTCAACCTCCCCGAACCATCTCCTTATCATGCATTGGAGGAGTGGCCGGTGAAATGTATTCTGATCATCGTCTGGCGTTCCGGCCTCACTGACCCGAGGCAGGGCGGCAGAATGCAGCGCTCCAGGTCGGCCGGTGGGTGGCTGCCACACTCCCTGGGAGGCAGCGTGACCAGAGTCTGAGAGAACTCCAGGTAGACCTTGCACTCGACCTTGCGCCTGCGCAGTCCCTCACCGCAGGTCACCGAGCATTCGCCCCACGTGTCCGCCACGAACCTGGCGGAGGGAGGGACAGGTCAGTTGTGAGCAGAGCAGGGTAGGGTAGGGCAGGGTAGGGCAGGACAGAGCACACGACATGACATCACACAGTGGCTGGCAGGAAAGAGCAAAGCAAAGCAGGGCAGATACATACGTCGCTGAGAGAAAGAAGCAAGAAAAAAAAACAGCAAAAAAGGGCCCTAAACCATCGACAGAATTTTATAAGTGGTATGCTCCGACGTAACACAAAAATTCAATGTTATTTAGGATTTTTGAGAAAAAGTGTACAACTAGCCTGCGCCTATACCGTACGTCTGAGAAAATAAAAAGATAAATAGAGACATCTGACATCTGGTACAAATAAAAAGGCGCAATGTCTGATACCTTTCCATCCAGCACACAAATTGCACTTCGTCGGGGTCGGCAGCAATCTACGAGCACCCAGGGCGCGATAAGTAATAAATAATTGAAGTGTTGATCACCGGTTTGCGATGCCTCTGGGATCGGGCACGGTCCGGCTATCTGTTAGTAGGCGAGCGCGACGAATACCGAGCGACCGAACCTGCATTGCGGCACAGGTGAGCTGCCGTTAGCTGGCTCCTGTGTCCAGGGAAGGTATGTCGTGTGAGCAGTCACGGCGGACGGGCCTGTCAGGTGAGGGGGTAATTCCGCCCGCTCCCCCTCCCCCACTCCGCCGCGCCGCCCATCCAGACATGTGGCACTCACGCCACGCACACATCACATCGGGTGGCGGTCGGCCGTGGACCAGCGACAGCCTGGCCGCACGCGGCCCTCAGGAGCTGTGGTAATCGCAGCGGCATCCGTCAGACCGTCACACCTGCCCACGCCCGCTAATGGAGGCGCAATGCAGGTGTCATTGCACGAATTTCTGTATAGCTATGTGTTTTATTGAATTTCACATAAAACTCAGAAAGGCAGAACTCATGGAGAAGTACCATTTCGACCTAGCTGTCAGTAAGATTTGAAGCAATCAAAGTCAGCTCGTCAGAGTGTAATGGCCAATTGAGCCTTAGACTAGCATCATTTCAAATCACTGCAAGCTTCATCGTGCATCTATAATTTAATTAAGCGCCTCGAATCAGATAATCAGCTGCAGCCTATGGCATTTCCAGCACCGACAGAGTCATTCGGCATTGTTGATAGTGAAATCGTCCGACGATTAACTCAGTGCGGACGTCTCCTGATGGCCGTTAAACGGAGGTCGCGGCTCGGTCTAACGGCCAGCTAGCCGGATTCTGACTGAGTGTGTACGATATGCAATGGATGTCGGAAATAACTAGCTGGTGCTGCATTATATATTTAATGCCATTTTTTGGACAGCAGAAGCTTATGGTGAGTACAACCTAAATAGCTTACGCCGGCTTAAATGTTTTCCAAAAATGTAAAACTGCAAAAATAGCAAAACAATAGCCAAATGGAATGCAAATGGATAATTTATGTAGGCGCATACATCTAAAAAAGAAACTCGACCAGCAGGCAGCGTATGTGCTTCGAAGAATGAGTGAAGCCATCATGACATTTTGCCTTTAACCCTCGCACGACCAGGCCATTTCTCATAACACGAACGACCAGGGGGGGGGGGTTGTTACGACCCCCCCCCCCCTGGCGTTTCGAAACGGAAGGTCGTAGAGCTTAGCGGAAAAAACCAACGGATTGCTCTCAACGAGATCTCGCGATTGGTGGTATATTTTTTGGTCCTAGGTCAACATTTGACCTACTTATGACCGGTCAAAGGTCAAATTTTCCGAAAAAATCAAACTTTTTCAACTTTGCGCAACGATTGCGGCAAAACGGTGAGAGATATTAACTTCAAACCTTCAACAACGTATTCCCCACTCAATTCTGCATCATATATGGTGTTTTTGGTGTATTTACCCTATAAAAGTAAGAGGCCTATTGCTGATGAGTGATATGGTGTCACATCACCCTCCGGTGTTTGTCCCGATTCGTCGGCTGTTGACCACTGCTCCGCTATAAATACTGTAGGTAACGACTCAAAAAAGTGTATTTCCAACTTCCAACAATCAATTCACAGCAAACGATGTATCACATATCATCACATATGATCATCATCACATCACATATGTTGGACCACTCATGACGTCATACCTCTCTAATCTGACATGACCCGGCCATTTTGTTTATTTCAAAAGTTAGTCAATAGATGTCCCAACATGTCTGGAAAGTTCTATTAGCATACATGCACTACTCCACATGCAATCGTAAAAAAGCTGGGGGCGCATTTATCAGACACTCACTTCTCAGAAATGGCGGCGTACGCTGTACCACATATGACGTCATAACTCCGTGACCTGACCTGACCCGGTCAAGTTTCTTGCACCACACGATAGCCAATGCTTGCCCCAACATGCATGGGAAGTTTCATCATGATCCATCAAACAATGTGGGTATCACCGGCAGAAAACCTAGGGATTCGGCGCACACGTTTGGTAACTGTCGGCCGGAGGCTGTACCTCTTATGACGTCATAACTCCGTGACCTGACATGACCCGATCAATTTTTTTTCGGCAAAAGATGCGCAAAGGTTGCCCCAGAGGGTATTGAAAATTTCAGCCCGCTACGACAAGCCGTTTAGCCGTGCACTTCGAAAAAACCTCAGGGGGGGGGGGGGGTTGATACAACCCCCCCCCCCTAGGCGTTCTAGGGTTAATAGTTCATTAGCGCTTTTCAGAAGCACTACGGTATCCTTCCACTCACACTGAAGGCCATCACAACAACCCAAGTACGTAAAAACCGCGTCGGTAAGCGCATAGCTCCAAAATTGTAAGCTGTGAGGTCGCCGGCCCCACCCCCGCCGCCCAGTACAGGCCAGCTAACTAGCGTGCAGCTGCCGCTGTTACGTCCCGGCCGTGCGCTACTATACTGTGTTTCTGCCTGCCAATAGGTGGGCCGATAAGGGTGTCACGGTGGACGGAAGGGTCTTCGGGGACTGACGGAAACGCCAATAGCAACGGTAGCACCGATAACCGGGTAATTATTGGTCGCCCGAAATATACCGACTGGAAGGCAGCAGCACACAAATATACAGCAACACAAACTGATGGGAGCTTGTTTGGGTTTTAGCGTTTGCCACTTAACGCTGCCAAGCGCGATTGCTACTAACGCAAAGCAAATTTGAGCATTTATAGAGAAGCGCTCATACCATACTACGTCATGAGGTAAATGCGCATAGCACGTCATGTGGGGCGCGCACGTCACTGTGCCTACATGAGCACCACCACCAGTCATATGAGCACCACACACCAGTCATACGAGCACCACCACCACACCAGTCAGTCAGGGACATCGGACATCGACAGGGGCGTTTTTCACCGGCAGATGTTCCGCCCAATTCCGCCATGAAAGCCGTCAGTCAGCTCTCGTAAATCGGTATTAGCGGACTGCAGGTGGGCCAGTGGTGCTGTGTGCCGGCCGGGCCGCCGGTACCGTCCACCGCACCTGGCCGAGCGCAGCGGCCTGAGCCCCAATTGGCCCAATCATGCATACAAACAGGCGTCAGCGGGCGACGGTCGGCCTGTCTGGCTGCCTCGTCAGCACAGCTGGGTCGCTCCCAGGCAGAGCGGGGGCGGTGGGCGGGGGGTGGAGATCGGGGGGGGGGCAGCGTACAGGTGAACGGAACGATGAAAGGAGTAGTTGACACTATAATTGAACGCATTAGCAGGAATAGGCTACTTACTTATAGGGTAATTTTTAAACGCTAACAAACTTCCTAACTGTATCAACGTTGGAAGTACGTACAAACATGTGCAATGTGCATTGTGCAATCATTCAGTCAACTGCACTTACAGAACTATTTTTAGCTGCACGGAACTGACGTAGCGTGGAAGGGATGTCGTGCGCCCAGTTAGCTGACGTTTGTGTGATGTTGTTTTGAACCAGTCGTGGTGTTTACGAGCCCATATGGAAGGTTAACTCAATTCTACACAGAACACGCGCCTCTAAATCAACCCAGCCAGAAGATGTTACTTTACCGAAAAGACTAACCAGAAAAATGCATCTATCACAACTGTCACTTGACATGCCGCTCACTAATTGGTATAAACTGACCGAATTATAAACTAGCTATCGGCGACAAAGATCTAGTTTCTGAGCAGATCGAAAGTAGAAATGTTACGATAAGTGATTTGTATCCTGCTCGTATAACGCCCGGCGGAATAAAAGTGTTGCAATGAGTGAGTTGACGTTAAATATAAGCAAAAACAAGTTTCCGATCAGTAGAAACAGTTTTCCAATCAGTAGAAGCAGCTTTCCCATCAGTATATCTCTGTCGTCCTTCATGTCTCTAACCGTCTCAATGCTCCCATTCACCTAATTTTCTGGCCCTGACCCTCCGACTGCGTCTCCGTGCGTGTTGTTCGCGGTTCTATCCGTATCCCTCCCTGTATAGTGTATAACCCGCCGAACCACGCTCTGAATAATGAAGGGCGCCTCGCTCGACAGCAGCCTGTTTTGACACGTCCCGCACATCTTCTCGTCTGAGTGGCAGGTCGCGTCAGCCAACCACGCCGTGTGGAATTCCTACATGCCTCCGCTGAGCTGAGCTCGACGCTTGCAGAGGGGACCCGCGCGGCTAGTGGGGTCGAGTCGAGTTCCCGGCGAGAGAAACAACTTGGACAGTTTATGGCCTGATTTTGTCCCATCAAAGTTGGTTTTCCATTAGTTGACTTGATGTAGTCTTTCGTAAGTCAGCGACCCAGCTCGGCTTCTGCTGTGGACACGATGCATACCGTGATGTTGGGTACGCGGTCAAATCGCCTCGATTAGCGTGGCTTGCATGTTTCTGTTGGTGTATACCCATCGACGGCGGAAAAAATCGACTACGCCGGGCCACCAGCGACCAATTACAAAAAGCACGCAAGGCTGTATGAGAATACTTGGCAAAGCGTTTTCATATTTCGCCGATAGTAATAACCCTTGTTTGTATTTTCTTTGTACAAGCGGCCAGCCATTGGCGGCGGGGCGGGCCCCAGGACGCGGCACGCAATCACTCGGTATTGATGGGGTCGCCAGGTCGGTGGGCCTGCCGGGTCACCCAGCCGGGTCGACTGGTTGTGGCCAGCCATGCTACTCAGTGTTTGTGTTTCCCATAGCTTTCCAGGTTGCTAAGAAACGAGCGTTTTGGGGACCCATAGCTTCCGTTGGCTTCAATGTTAAAAGAGATGTGTTTTTAGAACAAGAAACTGGCATCAAAATACCTCAGAAATAGCGAAAATGCAAGTAATTGCACGTATTACCGTCAGAATTGCGCATTATACGTGGACAAAGCATAATCGTGATGTTTGATGCAGAGGTTATCATGGAACCTTCGCCATGGCTGGAGCTATTGACATGTCCCTTGACAAAATGTCGCACAGGCCTACTCCAGAGGTCCAGTCCTTAGCTTGCACAGCTCTGGGGAATCCCCCGGACCGTTTAAATACACTCGACTTTAATTAATTCCAGCACAATTGTTCCGGTAGTAAACAGAAAAAGTCGAAGCAGCGATAAGCGTCTCACCGGTGTAAACAACTTCTCGAGAAACGCTGCAGTCTTTTGCAAACAAGGTCTTTTATCAGTGGGGTAATGAATATTCGGGTGAGTGAAGCTATCAAACTATATGAGTTATATTTCTGTAGTTTAGTTCCGGATATTGCTCATTTTAAGATGAGCACTTCTGCAAACACGATGTCGGCTGTGTTTAACAAGAGTTTTCATTTTTTAAGAGGGTAATATCAAATCAAATATGTGAAATATTGAAATATAATACCGCTTGCTGTTATACTGCTGAAACGGCTCCAAAGAATGATGCGTCGTTTACACTAGCCTCCTTCACTTACTTGGGGTCTGTGCTGAGCGTTAACTGCTGGCTAGACTCGACTGTATAGGCGTCTATTTTACTTAGGGGAGAGTGGGGCAAAGCGGCCACCCGGGGCAAAGCGGCCACCCATCGTTTTAGCCCTGCATAGCTGGCGTCAGTTCCAATTTATGGTTTCCAATTATACTTCTCTTCACGGTCGTTCGAATGAGCCAGACCGGGGTTTCAGGTCCATCACCATTGTTCTGTGAAACACGGAAAAGCATTTCTTGCCAGGTTACCAACTATGTTTACAATTTTTAAATGTTATGTTATTCCATAACCGTTTGGAATTTTTATAAGCATTCTTGTCCATGCATTGCATGGTTATCGTACATGTATTCTACCAATTTTAATGTTTTTTACCCCACTAATGGCTAGGCTGGAATATTGTTGTCTCGGACGGTATGCGCGGGGCAAAGTGGCCGGGGCAAAGTGGCCACGCCCCAACTGGCCATAAGTTGTTTCCATCTGGATAAAAAACATTATTTATATCCAAATGTGTCGTCAGGCATTCATCTTGGCCACTTTTCAGTTGCATGAGTTACCAAATAATGCAATTATTTTTTTTCATGAAAATCCTTTCTTTGTTTACCTACAGGTGGAAAAAGTAAACATCCACCCTCGCTTAAACCTTGTCACCATCAAATACCCTAGTCGTACATGAGGCAACAATTTTGTTTCTCATATCGGGACTTGAGAAGACGCCAGTGGCCGCTTTGCCCCAGGGTATGGGGCAAAGTGGCCACTGGCCAATATGCATAGGTTTAAAGTTTTGTCAATATCTTCCATATGTGAACGCCTTTGGAAATAAAACGCAGTTGAAATAAAAGGCAACTTACTAGGGATCACATTGGTATAGAAAGAATCTTTCCAAGTTTAAAAATCAAGCGTTGGCATCGTGAGAAGCGTTAGGGTGGCCGCTTTGCCCCACTCTCCCCTACTTGGGGTCTGTGCTGAGCGTTAACTGCTGGCTGGACTCGACAGTACTCGATAGGCGTCTCCTGTACTTACTTGGGGTCTGTGCTGGGCGTGAGCTGTTGGCTGGACTCGACTGTATAGGCGTCTATTTTACTTACTTGGGGTCTGTGCTGGGCGTGAGCTGCCGGCTGGACTCGAAGAGTACTCGATAGGCGTCTCCTGTACTTACTTGGGGTCTGTGCTGGGCGTGAGCTGTTGGCTGGACTCGACTGTATAGGCGTCTATTTTACTTACTTGGGGTCTGTGCTGGGCGTGAGCTGCTGGCTAGACTCGACTGTATAGGCGTCTATGTATTTTACTTACTTGGGGTCTGTGCTAGGCGTGAGCTGCCGGCTGGACTCGACTGCTGCCGGGAACACGGGCTGGGCGTGCGATAGCGGCAGCTGGTACGGTATATGTGCACCTGACGAACAGATACACACCGGTCAGCAGACGTGCGGCACGTCCACGCACTGGCGATAGAAAGCAGCTTATGTGTCAGAGCATATGTCAGAAAATGTCGACAGTTCCCAGCAAGAACTGGTGATGTGTGTGTCAGGGATAGATCAGGGCTTTGAGCAGAGTGTGCTCGCTGACTCACGCAATTAAAGAATGATAGAAAAAATGACGGTTTCATCAGAAGGTATAAGACAGGTCGGATTTCCATAGATTCCGTAAGCACTCTGTCGTGCTGCTGTAATGAAGTTGGTCCCTGCAATATTTCACGATAAGCCCACTGACCTGAACACTGGTCAATGTACGGTGGACACCCGCCTCGCTATTGTGTAGGATATACCACAGCGATTCCAATGACCCCAAATGTACCCGCTGCCCCTGCGGATGATGCGATTTTAGCAGCCCCGTCCTAGCTCTTCCAGTCTTGACATCCCTGGTAAATTCTAGACTGTAGATAACTTGTAATAAAAATCGCGGCATCACCTTTGACCAAATTATGGCAATTAGCACTGGCGAACATGTTAGCTTCGAGCAACTCTGCCATGTGGACTGGGATGACATACAATTTATGCGACAAAGTTCACTGCGGTTTAGTCTACATAATTTATCCATGTGATTTGAAAAGGTTGTTCCAACGAGCAATTTATCCAAGCTGCAAAGGCTATATTTGAGGCTAGCTCCATTTCAAAGAAAGAATACCTACCCTACCGAAAGTCAACGGATTTTCAATGCACTGGATTTGATGGCCACGCATGCACGTGGACTGGCCAATACGGCAGCGGTGAACGATAACTTTCAGTGCCGCGGGATTTTCGGTCGGTCAGGCTAGGCACTAAATGCCAAATAGAAGAAATGATGCGACTGGAATGTTCGAGGGAGTCTGATGGCTGTATCCCATTGTAATTGTAAAAGTCATTGAGTACGGAATCTGTAACGTATGAAGTTCAAATACTTTCCGTGAACCGCAACATCTCAACAACGGAAGCGGCGCGTCAAAGCTCATCAAAATGGGTGAACCATACAGGCAATAGACCACTAATACGATAACGTACTTCATGCAGCTATTATAACTGTGGGAGCCGACGCAGTCTGCTATGGGTCAGGCATTGCCTAATTACAATGGCAAGTGGGCTGAACGAAAAAGCTATGGCCGCAAACGAGTTTGGTGGCAATACAGGAAATAAGGCCTCTTTGTTAGCCGGAAACCGAAGCGAACAGTCAATAAAACGGACATAGTCGGTGCGGACTCACACACATACAAAAAAGGATGCCTCGTAACGGTACTATGGGGTCGAAATGGTCGAGGCTGAGCCTTCAATAAATTCTCCAACAACATACATTACATTTCATATGATCGAGCCACGCTTTACTTTAACGAATAATTCTACAGTTAACAACGCACAAATGTCTGAGTTAATCACAATGCAGTGCAATGCAAACAATGTTCACAATTATCGAAGTCATTCCGTTGAAAGGATTACTATAAAACATAAATAAATAAATGAGTTTGAATAATGTTTAGATCCCACAACACAACAGCTGAATAATCAAACCAAGTCTTCTGCAGCAATTTTGAATGAACAAATTACAGCGAATCCCAAAGCCGTATACCGCATAAGCCTTCATGTTGATATTGGACACATAGGACACATATACTAACGTTCCGCGACCCATCACGCTCTAACCACACCCCGATATAAAGTATACGTACTGTGTGAGTCCTTGACCTGACTGAGAGGGCAGGGCATCAGACTGGAGCACGGTTGGCGGCCCCGGGGCTTCAGTTTCGGGTCGCAGGCCTCGCTGAGATGACCGCGAGCGTCCCGACAGAACACGGCCCGAGTCTGCTGACCCGAGTCCCCGCAGGTCACCGAACACTGCCGGAGGGCATGACACGGGTCAGGTCAGGTCACCGAACACTGCCGGAGGGCATGACACGGGTCAGGCCACAGGTCACTGACCAGTGACCACTGCCGGAAGACATGATATGGGTCAGGTCACCCAACACTGCCGAAAGGTATCACAAGGGTCAGGTTACAGGCCGCTGCACATTGCCGGAAGCCATGACAAAGGTCAGTTCACAGGTCAATGAATATTGCCGGATGGTATGATAAAGGTCATGCAACAGGTGACCAAACAAAATTGCCGGAAGGTTTGACACAGGTCAAGTTACTTAACACCGCCAGAGGTACAGAACGAATCGGGTCACAGGTCATCGAAAACTGCTGAAGGGCGTGACATGGGTCGTCACAGGTCACTGAACATTGCCGGGAGATATGAGGCGGTTCAGGTGACCAGGCGCACCCGAAAGGGCACCTTACGGGCCAGATCAAGGGTCACTGAACACCGACCGTTGAGATCAAAGGTGAGACCATCAAATACTGCTCGGAAGTCACTCTCTCGCGGGCATTTGGCTGAACCACGTCGGAACAGCATCTGATCCCATGCGTGATGTCAAAAGTAACGACATATTGCTGCATTACTGCGCATTACAACAAATGGTGGTTGACAAGTAGTGTCACGACCTACACCGACATTAAAAAATTACGCTTCAATATGATATTGTACTCTTTCATAAGAAACAGTCAATTTAGGGAACAGGAACAATTAAGCTCATGTCATTTTCTTTTGATTGGCCAGGACATGCTTCTGTTTCTCGCTGTCTCCAAAAGGTCACCCGCGTGACGGGTTCGTAACAGCAGCTGCACTGTCGCACGAAGGCAGCATGGCGACAGCCAATTCATTCTCACGAAGATTCCAGGTCCAGGAACCGCCTCACTAAGCGAGTCTCGGAAGGCATCAGCCGATCCCATTCTCACCAATACACCAATGGAGACGACGCCTTATAAGCATCCCAAGAAGTCCAGACTGCAAGTTTTCAATGCATTTTAGTCGCTGATTCATTCAATCGTTCATGCACAGCCTGTAGATCTATCATCTCAGTGTGGATCCCAGAGGTCAGTGCCTGCCTGGCAGCAGACTCTCTCAACCAGTCGCCAGATCGGCTCCGGTTCTATGTGCCAGCCGCGAGCCCCGAGCAGAGCGTCGATTTATAGCACGTGATTCGGCTGCGCTTCGCAGGCCAATTTCGGGCCGATCTATAATTCGGTGGCGGCCCGGCGCTGTCTAGGGCCAATATTCGGGTAGAGGACGGTTTATCACGGCCGATTGTCTGTAGAGAGAGGGGGAGAGGGCTCCGCAGGGCAGCGGGAGGATGATGATGCTGGATGGTAGAGACGTAGGATGAAGAACACTGCGTGCGCGGTGCTTAGCGGCAGCTCGAAAAAATTCAATCACATTCTGAAGCAATTCGTCAGCAGAGTAAATTTTGACTGCTATTTATGACTCAAAACCATCATACCTTCCACTTTCAACCTGCCTGAGCGCGCAAGTTTACGCATAACTTTCAAACGTGCGGTTAAACTCGTGCGAAGGAGGTGAAATATGCCGGGTACCTGCCTAGCGTAAATTCATCAGTCGATAGCCGCGGTGACAAACTTGAGTCATTCTTCATTTAGCGCCGCGGGGAAGCGATAGCGTGACCCATAAACATTTGTTAGGCACACAACCTGTCAGCCATTTACACGCCTTACAGCAGAGTAGTGTAGTAACATCACGGTAAAACGCAGGCGGTGAGAAATACGCCGCCAGAACTACTGAGTGCTGGTTAATTTACTTTACTCAATTTCTCAATAATACGTGAATAGCTTTTGTCCAAACACACGTATTTATAACTTATATTCTAACACACTTGTCGAATGTCGAGATTCGGGGCCCATCCTCACTCCGCGTACAATGTTTTATCGTGCTCTCTCCATAAGCATGTTAGCTTTCCGGAAAAGCATTTGTAATTATCGTAAAACAATTCTTACATTAACTGTGATGTGATTCACTTTACCATGCACCCAAAAACATGATGACCGGTTCGAAATTAGTGTGCCACGCCGACTAGTTGAACAGTGGAAAGGTCTTTCGTTTCCTGCAGCAAAAACAACATTGATGGGTTCTGCTCAATGGAACTGTACAGCCGGCCACCGGACCCTGACGTTGAATTAGTTAGAAGGCGTTTTTAACCTTTTCTCAAAGGCTATTGAAACCAATGTTGCTTGCAAGAAAATGTGTGCCAAAACGATTTTACATGTTTCTTGAGGATAGTGTGGACGGCACACAAAGTAGTTACCTAAATAAGGATTTGCATCTTTTGTTAGAACGATAAGATCACGCTCATCCACAACCGGTTATATTAGGTATGCAGCCGACTTATAGACGTCATGTGCTTCTTATGGGGATTACAAATGCATTGTGATCAAAGATCGCTAAGTGAAACAGTCTCCAGCGGAAGCTGCTCAAACAGCATGCAGAAGAACAGAATACGAGTACTTCACGCTATCTAACACAAATTAAGGGCTTCTGAACATGGACTCACTTCCTAGTACCTAAAATGATAGGGAATATATCTTTCTCTTTACTCTTTTTCGTGCTCAAAACTGCACACTTCGATCGCCCCTGATGCAAGATTCGTACTTTATAGCTCTGAAGTCTCGCGTGAACCGACGACAAAACCGAAAAAAAGGCGAGGAACGCTCGGGCTGGCTCAGGTCTTCGCGTATTGAACGGCGTCACAGTTTCAGAATAAAATGGAAATAAAAAAGGACACTGGACGAAGCGGCTGGACCGCCTAGCTGTTACAGCCACTTGGGGACTTCGAGTGATTTCGATCAGGCCCAAACCGAATTAACTTTAATGGCACGCTGCTGGTGCATCGATAGGAGGACGACCCAGTCTATATGGCTGACTACGAACGCAATGTATATGTTACAGACCGTATGAAAACCCAGTCCGTTTGCAAACGGCCTGGCCCAGTCAGGCCGTTTGAAAACGGCCTGAAAAAGCCGGCCGTTTGCAAACCGCCTGAAATATCAGGCCGTATGAAAACGGCCTAGGCAGTTTGAAACGGCCTAGACAGTTTGAAAACGGCCTAGTCAGTTTTCAAACGGTCTGGTGAACTACAACAGTCTCTGAAGATTGAACTTAATGGATCCAGGTTGGTCGATGATCAGGTTGCATCCATGTGAATGCTTGCGCATTCCATGTCGAATGACTCGTCTACATAAGTCGAACATTTTCTTACTGTGCTGATGCTCGGCCCGGCCGTTTTCCGACAATATTACTAATTATACAAGTTCACGGTCCGCCTGTGTACGGCCATCCAGTTGATGGAGTCTGGTGAAGCCACTGCTGGTGAGGTCTGGTGAAACGTACCTATCACTACAAGACTCACCGATTATTTTGCGGCATAAAACGCCGGAGCGCGCAATGGACATCAGAGTTCACATCAGTGGCGCGGGAATCGGGGGGGGGGGGGGGCTAGCGGGGGCTGAGCCCCTCCAACTTTTCGGCTGGGGGGGGCGCTTGTAATGTATTTGAGCCCCCCCCCGCTGGAGGAATCGAAATCGGAAACCTACCAATATAATTTCATAGATTCATACATAGGCGCGGGAACCGGGGGAGGGGCAGTGGGGGAAGCTTGCTCCTACAGCTCTGGGACCGTGGGGGCGGTGCCCCACAACTTTTCATGAGGTCAGGAACCGTTGGGGCAGCTTGTCCTCCCCTAATTAGGGGTTGTGGGTCACAAAGGAAGAAAACATGTTAGTGAAAAATCCGCCTCTTTCACTGGCTCGGCAACTCATTTGGCAGATTAAAACCTTTATTCCAGGCTGCCAAAACGGTAGTTTGTTCACTCAGCTGAGACGGAATAGCGGACTTTTTTGCAAATATTTTCGTTTTTTTTTTGTTGAAAAGGCCAAGGTCTGAAAAATAAGTGGCCTAAAACCGGTGAGAAAACTAGATTTGGGGGTACCCTAGGTTGATCTCTATTATGGTTCAGCCCCCCCCCCACCCCACCCCCCCAGTCTGGAAGAAGTTCCCGCGCCACTGGTTCACACTTGCACTAGAGCCCTCACCGCGCCCGGTCGACCGCCGGCGGCTGGCCGGTGGCGTACGCCGGCAATACTTGACCATTGCGGTGGAAGGCGAAACTTTGAAGTCCGGGGGAAGAGCCCGGGTCGACCGGGCGCTATACGGGCCGGGTCTCAGTTCTGCTAGTCTCTTCCTAACCAGGCCTCAATTCGTCATCGGGAAAATCAGGGATAATTTTCCGGAACTAGCGAGAATCATCGGGGATGACGAACGGTATCGCGATAACAAGACATGCTGAAGATAGGCGCTCAACAATAATTTTCCGACGGAGAATATCCGAGTGACAATATTTTTCTGGATGCCGAATGCACCTCAGGATTTCATGGTGCCATGTAATGTCATGAAACGGTCGTGCTTCAACAAACTCAACATTGTCCAGCTGTAACTTTATGCAGACCAGATTGTTTTCAAAATGCCTAGACCGTTTGCAAACGGCCTGGTGTCTGGAAAGTTGTCATACGGCCTAGACGGTTTGCAAACGGCCTGAAATTTCAGGCGGTTTGCATACAGCCTGGAATTTCAGCCCGTATTCAAACGGCCTGACTTTTCAGTCCGTTTGCATACTGACTGGGCTGTCCAGGCCGTTTGCAAACGGCCTGAATCGGGCCAGGCCGTTTGCAAACGGACTGAGTTTTCATACGGCCTGTAACATATATACGAGACATTCGCTCGATGAAACTGTTTAAGTATAGCATTTGACATTTGCCATCGGCCAGCTTAAGGGCTTGCATGAATGGTTAAACTCTTTTCAAAACTATGAAGAAACGCTAGCAGATACTCGAAAACCTATATCGCGTAACCTTATGAGATGCATGTTATGCATACTGTTAAACAAAAATACTGGTTGTGTAGGTATGGCTATTGCTGCTGCCAGCTAGGCGTATAAACAACCCAAGTT